AAATAGTTTAATAAAAAGAACAAGACCTTTTGCAACAATTCAATTTATAAAAGGTCACAATTCTTGTCGAATAAATGAAAAAAAGAATTGGATGGAAACAAAAAAACAAGGATGAAAATATCAAAAATTTTATCAGCTTGAAAAGGAAAATCTGAATAAAATGAGAACAACGGAAATCACTGGTACTCTGTCAAAATTGAAGGGTCAATATGACATAATAATTTGAGAGCATTTTAGATATTAAATAGAGAGTAACAAAGGTCAACCTCAGGGGGTTATTGAAGCAGTGATTGGCTCAGTTCCAATCCTGAAGGATTTGGAATCCCTTGATAGCTTTTAGGATTTCACTGAGACATAGGCTTCATCCTTTATATTTTGACTTAGGCGGTATCTCTGTAATAGCAGAAAAGACTGAATGATAGTTTTGGAGATCTTTGAAGATGTTGACCTGAATTACACAAGATATCAAGAAATTTATATACTATCTGTTGTTCTTACTTAGATGCCATTAGCAGAAGAGCTTTGTTATCATCAGTTATTTGGTCAATCTCAAGTTTCTTTGTCATCATAGTGACTCTTGACATAACTACCATCCACCAAGCTTGATCATATATCACTGAGATTCCATCTTGAAGTGAAAATTACCATTCAGAAATTGAAGTTTAATTGCTCTAAAGTTGTAGACATAAATAAACAACAGCATGTCGATATATTGAAGATACTATCATGTATTTTTATATAATTATAAAAATGTCATGAATAAAAGTAAACTTATCAATTATTTCAGTGATTTTTATTTAGACAAAAGTTATTTTGAAAATCAGCAATTGGGTCACGCTAACTTTTATTATTTTTAATCTGACTCTATTTTCCATCACAGAAATTTGTAATATAAGTTGAAATAAATCATCCAAAATTAATAAGTATTCCATTATTTATAGTTGATATTCAATGAGATATTTTGAAACATTATATTTTAACTCATAATTCAAATCAGAAACATTAAAATCTGATCAATTTAAAGTTAACATCAGCTTAAATAATTCCTTATTACCATTGAATTGACATTTTCTTTTTTTTGTGCATGATTGAGTTATTTCAGAAATATACTTGTTATACTTGTATAAAATAGAGTTATGAAGAATGGTATTAAAGAGCAAAAAAACCTAAATGATAGAGTGTATAAGAAGAAAAGTGTACAACAGATTTAAGTAGACAGAGATTTTGAATTCTAAGAGCGAGCGAAAAATTGAAGCAATATTTTATCTAGAGCAAGGAATATTGTATGCTAGAAACTCATATATACATACATACATATGGTCTATTTTTCAAATGCATCTTTATTTTTAGCAGAATAATGGATGCATTCACAATTATCATCATCGTGAAAACAAAACTTTCGTTTACAGATAAAGTGTTACACTTGAACACTCTCTTAATGGAGAAAAAGAAAAAACACAACAATTTTGTGACAAAAAAAGAGTCTGACCATAAAGTCTACTAAAAGTGGCAGTAAGAGAGACTTAAAAAATATTGGATTTAAATAGTAATAAATTCGTATATGAAAGAATGAATATTTCATAACGTTAAAACCCTAGTCACATGGCACGTTTTATTTTTTACGAGCAACTTTAAGAGTTTCTAAATATTCTGGAGAACTGGAATATACGTTTCAAAAGGTAATTCAACTGTCCAGAAAGTGTTTTCATCAATCTATAATCCTATTTTACAGTAGCTCGTTCTAAAAGTCATTTTATATTTCACTAATAAATAAAAACAATTTTAATGATGATGAATATTATTTATAGACGAATGTAAACAACAATATAACAAAAATACCAATCGTCTATTAATTAATGATTATTACTATCTAAATGACACTGACTGATGATTCCCAGTTGATGTAACTAATTTATTCTAACCTAAAAATACAAAACTCTCAACAATTAAAAATAGCTGACAAAACATAAATATAGAGAATATAAGGTTTTTGACCTAAAGTATTATTGTCAACATTAGAACTTATCACATCCTTATTTTAAACTCACTCTCTCAGATAGTATGCAAAGTATCTGAAGTCATGAATCTATTCAATTTTAAAAAGTTTATTAAAGTTACAAATATTAAATTAAATATGACAAAGTTTTTTTTTGCTTAATTAATTAATCACATTAAAGAAAAATAAACTCTGAATTTTCCTGACGTAAATAAGCACAAATTATTTTAAAAGTATGATCATATTTTTCTACCTCAACAGAGAAAATATGGTTACCTATATTTTAATCCATTTTGCAAAAATCTAAACTTCAACTTTTTGAAATTCCTATCTTTTTATCTGGCAGAAACAGACTCACATATGATAAAAAAATAAAAATGAAACAAATATAATTTTCCTCAGAGTCAGTTTCAAGGTGGATGAAATAAAAAAGGAAACCTAGAAGGGCAGGAGAAAATAACTCCATAGAAAAATATCGCAGATGTAAAAATAGTCTAAAGAGTGAGCTTGAAATGACGGGTATATGCGTAGAATGAACAGGGTAATACTGAAGGAAGCAGCTATATAAGAAAAAAAAGTCTTTAACGATGTAATACCTGATATAAGGGATAAAAAGAGTGAAGGCGTAAAGACTTCATAAGGGAGGGTTTCAACTTCAGTAGCCCAGTGACCGCAATGCTATGGCTGTGTAGTTTTTCTTATAGGTCAACGTATACACCTGTCGACGTCAACACGTCAGCATTTAAACAACAGATAGTTCTATAGACATTAGTACGTCATAGAACACGATAGAGGCATGTACAACAAACGAACAACGTCCAGTGTTAACCGCATGAGACGATCATAAACTAGCGTGGATTTACACCCCTTAAGTCTTTGTGCTTATGACACTATTAGACGCAGAAATAACCCCACATATAGCTATACAATATGTATGCAAGAACGCCTGCGCCTTGGATAGAATAATACATCACCAGGTCCATGTATTATACAACATCAGTAGACACTTGAATTGCCTTCTGGCTTTGGTGTATATGCTTAAATATACGCCCCTTGGGGATGTGAGTCGACAGGTAAATAAAAGAAAAGTAGTATAGCAACGGTACAACACTCACGAGACACATAAAGTCCACCGCAAAATTTGCATTACCATCTCTCTTATTATAATATTATTTATTTTTAAATCTGCTGTTTTTAAATAAATTTTTTTCTCCTTACTATTTTTATTCTTTACTACCAAGCAATTGTTCCTTGAAATTAATGTTAATTACTAAGGGTTCATTGCAAGGTTTTTTTTTATAGCTATAAATACTTCAGAGAGCTTTATTTTAATCATGAATAAGTAAGGATTAAACAATAAATACTTTATCAAATGTTTGATAGAAAAAAAAAATATTTCTATCTTTGAAGAAACTCAAGTACTGATAGAAATGAATTGATTAAAATTCTAGAAGACCTTGTATTGAAAATATTTTAAATAGTTTTATTCAACTTTATAAATAAACTATTTAGAAATAAATTCATTTTAATTCAATAAAAATATATTGTAGCTATATCTGGAATTGAAGCCTGAATTATTAGATAAAGGATTAAAGTGATTTAATCAAATACCTCTTATTGATTACCGAAGAGATTAATAATAAAAAATTTTATTTATACTTAAATTGATGCGTAAAAAAACTTAGAAAATAACGTCACTTTTTATGAATAAAACCGCTTTCTCAAGTACACACACGTGAATTGAGAAAATATTCGAGAGATTTAGATAGAACAAGTGTGAGATAGAGAAGACTAGACAAGCAAGAGAAGCCCCGAGAACCCTACAAAGCACCTGTTGATCCTACGATTAAAGTTTGAAGGAAAAGTGACCATCAGTTAAGTGGACATGAGAAAAATGGAATTATCGAGGTGAGATGTACATAAATCGATTACTCTAGAAGAATAATGAGTAAATTGGACAGATAAAGTGGCAATCTTGATAAGAAGAAGATTCTTATTTACATATTTATGATGCACATCTGTTATTTTAACGATTATCCAATAATGTATCAATGAAATTACATTCTATCTTTTCAATTTTTCCGCGTGTTGCAATCAAAGGTGCAAACTGATTGTCAGCTGTCCATGCAAAAACGTTACAAAAATATCATGACATAGATTTTACTCAGTTTTAAAAATAACTATTATATATATGAGTAGTTTTATTTACAGTCTGATGAGCTTTTACATCGTATGTTTCGATTTTTTTTCCTCTTTATAGGAAACTGTATGTATAAATTAATCAAGAAATAAATAGAGCATCTAAAAAACTAAATACTGATTCATTTTAATGGATTGAAAATATCCATTTACACGAAATGAAAAGAAAAATATATGACTATCACTATTTATTCTGATGTACACGAGAAAAAATAATAAACATCTCGCTGACAACGACAATCCTCTTTAAAAAAACTTGTGCTGAAATTAACTTTCAGAATGACATCTACATGAATTTGTATCAATTAATAATGTCTATTATCTATGTTCATGAATATAAATTCATAAAAAAAATTTATATAACAACGCTCGAGTATTTTTTGCCATTATTTTTATCTAGTTGACTATTATCGTCTTTTCATGAGAACAAAAAAATTTGAGTTTATGTTTTGTATGCTAGAAAATTTTTTTAATCAATGGAAAGCCTACTAATTCAACACAAAAGCAAAATAATTTTTTAAAAATAATAAATTTGTGTTATTTTGGAGTGATGAAGCAAATTAATTAACTTAGTGTTATGATTAATAAATGAATTTTGACGAAATTAAATTTTGTTTAGTGAATTTTTGTGGAAATTCTTATCACAAGCCTAGATCATAATAATAGGCATGATAATGAGTGCATTGTTTTGGCTCAAAACCATATTTGGGAATGGTCAATATATCACGACACCTACTACGGGAAAGAACCTATTATCTCATGCTTAATAACATTTATATAAATTATGATACATAAAAAAACTCACCCCAATGTCGTCATTGTGACGATAGTATACCAGAATGCGGCAGGAATGGAAGTAAAGTTGGTTCCCTCGACGTTTTTCTCTGCATAGAACATGACGGTGGCAAAGATGATGATGGCCATGGCGAGGGAAAACACAAGAAACCCAAGTTCAGATGCGCATGACTTGAGTGTATACCCAAGAATTCGAAGACCCTGGGAATGACGTGAGAACTTGAAGATACGGAACACACGGAAGACCCTGAGGGTAACAAAGGCTCCGGAGACGTCGTCGTTGTCGGTGAGGCCAAGGCCAATATAATACGGGAGAATAGCCACGACGTCAATGATCGACATGACAGATCTGGCAAACTTGCATCTACTTGGAGCAGCAAACAACCTCAAGAGATACTCAGCGGTAAAGATCATGACACATGCAGTGTCAAGACAAAAGAAAACAATTTTATATCTTTCACCACAGGATAATGTTCCAGCTCTACCAGGACGTGCACCACAAGGTACAGTCTCAACAACGTTCGCCAACACGCTGACAGCGATAAAGAACCCTGTGACATAATAAAAGACAAGAGCTGCAGTAGAGATGTGAGGATTTTGGAAAGCTCTCCACATCTTCTGCCTGATATCTGTAAGCTGTTGGAGATTTTGATCACCATTTTCACTTAATTTATCATCCATAAGTCTTTCAGCATTTTCGCGTTTTCTATCTCGGTAATCCTCATAGCAGCAATCTCCAATGACATCTGGTAGGATGCCGAAGAAAGCAAGCTCTTCATCATAACTCGTGAGGCACTCATGCTTCGGGTAATGCAGCTTTCCCGTTCTGTAGTAATTGAGTATGTGACGGAATATATCAGGATCCCGATCGAAAAAGTACTCCTTGCTGTCCTCATCATAGAAAAACTCACGTTCATTAGAGCCGAGGAGAGTGTCGGGATACTTCTCGAGGGTATTGCGCCAGGTTTCAAAACGCCGTCCACTGACATTGATCAAGAGTTTCTCATCATCAGCTTTACGCCGATCTTTGGGAATTGGTGGCGGTGGCAGTGGATGAGTAGCGATCGGTACCCAACCAATTGCAGCAGCTCGGGCGAACGGCAGCCAAGCTGCCACCGAGGCCATATTCGATGGTGGAATAACGCTCCTCAAGTTTTAACTTCGTAGCCTTCAAATGGTCCAGCGATCACTGAGCTTTATTCAGCCAAGAATCGCCGGACAATGCGCACGCATTAACTTCATCTCTAGATCACAGTCACATTGATCGATTTATTATCACGTTTTTATGCTTCACTAAATGTCTCTGTTCGTCTTCCTCGTTGACTGTCTTACAACAATGCCGACGACGACGACGGCTAAAAATTCGTAATTCATATCTCGACATTCTCTTCCTTTAGTAATCTGAGTTTCTAGTACTCACGAGGACAAACACGACCTCGAGTACGAGCACGACAAGAACAGCCGTACACGCGGCACCAGCGGCCAATCACGTCTTGGCAACGTGCCGTCCACCATCATCGATACTCAACGCGTACTCCGGTGTCTCAGCACACAAAACTTTTTTCTCAATTTAAAGCTTATCTTCTTTTTACTTTGTTTCTTTCTCTTTATACCTTTGACACTTTACTCTTCAACATCTCTAGCATTTATTCTCTTCCTTTCTACATGATCCCTCTAACTCCTTTTATCCCTTTTGAGTCTTTGATCGTTGTTACGTTCTCATCTCCTGACAATTTTCTTCGTCAAATATTCACTTAGCTGACATTTACAACATCGTTAAAGTAAAACTTATTATCTCCGAAACTGCACTTGACGTTCATTCTAGCTGATTATCGGTCAGCAGCATGTCTTGTTGGTTATTTTCACAGGCCAAAATTAAACAAGACGATTTCTGGAATAATAAATCACTTGAATCAATTGTTGAATGTTGATTTCTATAATTGTTTTAGAATTTTAAAATGTCCACACTTGTTTTGAATGAAACCTGTCAACATTCTTCCATCTGTAGTCGTTCAGCCCGGATGTCCTAGCCTTGACCGACGCTAAATGCCGCTCACTCGTATGGTCACTGAAGCTTCAGTGTATCTTTTGCTCCCTCTTTCCTCTCATTCACCCCACTCGTATATACTCCGGAGCTTTATCACACACTTTGTCTCTAGTATTCCCACGGTGCTTTCGCTAGCCCGTGAGAGATCGCACTGACGCAGAGCCGGACACTCAAGCGCGCGCGTAAAAGACCCGAGAGCTTCTCTAGTTTGATCCCTCCTCCACTATCCTTCTCCTCCCCTTGATGGACCGCTGCCGGCAAGCTGCGCTTTCCCTCCCTCGAGTTCACTTGTACAATACTCTGACGTAGCTGCCGACTGCAAGAAGAGGAAAAGTCACGAAAAATGTGCTTCCACTCTTGCTTCTCTACTTTGTTTCTATAAAAAAAAATAAATAAATAAATAAAAAAAATTATAAATACGAGACCTTTTTATTTTTTTTTTACTGTAAAATATCGTCTGACACGTGTCAAAAATACTCGAGCTTACAGAATGGTTGATCAGTCACTTGCAGAGTTTTGACTCAGTGGGAAAATATACGAGAGTAAAACCCGGCTTCTTGGATGTGCCTCCTCACACGCTGATCCGTGACGAGCCGACGAGCCACGCAACGCGGACCTGCCTAGCCAAAGTCCAAATTGATTTTTACGGGGACGGCATCAGTGGCGACGCATGGCGTCCCGACGCCGCAACGTTCCGTTACCTGGGCAACACTCGGCCCAATGACGTCATGCGCTGCCACCCGATTTTCCACCCTCAAGAGCTCCTAGCTCAAACATTCCCTATGTCAGCGTGTACACTACTCGGTCACTATATCCTTCCTCAGCTTCCATCGTCTCAAAAAAGACGCGCACCCATCGACCCTTATGGAAGCCTCCTAAATTTTCTTTCGTACTTCAACTGTCTTTATATACCTATATATTCCCTATCGTATTCTATTTTTATACCCTACTCTCACAATTGAACATGCTCCTGTATATAAATCACGACCATTTTCCACCACCAAAGGAATATTTCCACTTAATCTTCAACTGTCTCTCAGGCATAAGAAATTTTTTAACTGTGAAAAAATAACTGCTTTTTTTCGGTGGTTGTACAGAGAGTAAGTGAGTGAGTGATGGAGAAATCCCTCTGTATTCCTATTGACCCAGCTAGAATTAGCAACACCCTCTCACACGCCCTTTGCTTTACTTTTGACCAGCTCTATCTTCGAGCGAAAAGTAAACTTATACCACTAATGAACGCGAGGAACAACCTCGAAATACAAGTGGCCTTTCATCGTGGCTGCAATACCAACTCGAGGGTCATGAGGCCACAGAGTCAAATAGTAGTACTCTAAGCTCCACACTACTTATGAGAGCTTCGAATTATACAGCAAGTATTTTCTTTTTTTTTTCTTACTTTTTATTTACCTTAAGTAGTAGCCAGTCTGGTCCTCACTATTTATATACATTAAACGTGTAGTTAAACATTAATAAATATATGCACTTGTACACAAATACATAAAGGGTTTCGACAAATCTAAAAATAGATTAAGAAGTTTGTAAACATTGTAAATCATTCATGGAGAGTAATCATGAATCTAAGGGATGTTGAAAGAAAATTTTCTCGACTCAGGAAAATCAAAAGATTCTTTATTTTAAAAATGAAGTAAAATAAGAATGTATTTGGAACGCCCTTTTGAGATTCTTCAAAAATTTGGATTTAGTAAAAAAAAAGAAGAAAAAGGTGATTCGGTGATGAGCGGTCGTGCGAACTGGGTTAACAACTTGAAGATTTAAGAGCCCTGCATTGTCCCGTCTCGTCATTGAGTAAAAAAAAAGAGAGACTGGTAATAAGTGAAATGTTAGGCAGACGTTAATTTAGCTAGAGCAACCCTCGTCTAACGTATCGTCATATTATTCTAAAGCATACAACTCTCCACCTATTTCGTATTCTTTCATCGAGAAAAACCCACCACTATTCTGATTTCTAGTCAAGCGAATGTAGAAAATTTTCTTCTCATAAAATTGCTTTAATCCACTGAGGCTTTCGAAGGGTGCTGCAATATAATACCTGATATTGTTTTATTTACGCTAGAAAAATCTCAATAATCCTATAGTAAACTCCATAAAACTGTTAATCGACTAAAAACCCTCTAAAAAAAGCCTCGGAAATATTTATTAATAGACGAAAAATATTCAACCATTTTTTTCAATAAACAGACCGATAAATTTTGTGTAGGAAGGTGTAGAAATTTTTTAATGATAAATTTTCCATTTTAAATGTTCGTTTTTATCAATGAAATATACTTTAAATACCGAAATGATGAAAAATTATTTTCATTCATCAACTTGTTTCAACAATGTGTATTTTATTTTATAATAAATATTTGATCTTCACTTGAATTAATATTGATTCAATCGATAAAAGCTTTAGTCACAATCTTTTGCAGCTAAATATTTTATGCAAGATTCATATGAATTTATTGGCTTCATAAAAGAGAAATTTATTAGATAGTTAAATTAATATCGTCATTAAATGACATTTTTAATTGCACTTTCAATAATAGATAACTTCTTTATTTTTTTCTTTATCATTTTCAGTACTGTATCGATGAAAAATGTTGAAATGACAGATAAAATTTATCTAGAATGTAATAAAAAATTCTTTATGGGAGCAATCATTAAAGTCTGACTTTTATTAAAATAATTGATTAAAAAATCTATTATGAAACCTAATTATTATGATTATTAATAAATAAAAACTACTAGCCCCTTTTATTTTTGTCCTATTTACAATGAAATACAACAAAAAAATCTCATCCGAATTTTAGTCTCAAGTGAATGTCATAAAAAACTTTTATCTTGCAAAATACATGTATATGTATATATGTTTTGATCATTGCTCGAAGCTTTGTCAATAGCTTTCGACCAATAAAGCATAGAAAAGTAATAAAAACAGGTCGCCGTAGGCAACTGAAGAAAAGGAAAGTTAAATGACACAATACTGCACGGCTGTCTTAAACGAAATCTACTTACTGAATGGTATCATATGATGGTACCCATCCACTACTGTCAAGCATCCTCTTTTTTTAATTCTGTCTTTCTAAATATCTTGTGGTTAAAAACGAGCGTTACGGTTTGGTTGATTTGGAATGATGTAAATATATTTAAAAAAAAAGGGGGAAGTTGACTTTTTCGTCAGGTGGTTTTCGTGATTATATGTTATACTTTTTTTTTTTATTTACCCATTGTTTTAACGATTATTCTGTCAACTACACGCAACACTAAAAAGCTCTTATGCAAATTGGATGTGATAATGAGATATAAAACTAAAAAAAATCCATAAATGTATTAAAAATTTTTTCATTCAGTATATGTCTGTCTACTTACGTTCTTTATTCACTTCAATTCCGATCTGATGAAAATTCTATCGAACTGATGATGTAACATCAACCGGAAGCAACTCTTTCAATTTTGATTGCTTTGATCAAAACTTTGAACTCCATCTGCTAAAAATTTCTGCATATTGCGGAACCATCTGTTTTTCACGATTACTTCATTGTTCCATTTATTTATTTTTCAATAAAGTACTGAAAAATTTTTCTCTGAAAATAATCAACAAATAAAAATTATTTCCAAAAATTTTCACCATTTGTTTTAAGAGATAAAAACTATGTTCAATTGAGCAAGACCTATAAAAATGTTTAAAAAATACAATATTAATATAACTTATTCTATTTTATACTAAACTAGTCAGAACGTTTAACATTGTATTAACTTATTATTTCTACAGTAACACTAATAATAGAAGTTCTAAAAAATATAAATCCTAAGTTAAATTCTAAAATTATAATAAAATATAAATAAAAAGATTAATTAATTAATTAAAACTATACAAAAATTTTTATTTAATAATGCAAGCAAATAATGTTAAAGAGTATCAAGAACTTAACTAATTAATTAATTAACTCAAATTCAAATTGTACATAAAGACGATTTTTATTTTTAAATACTTTTTGGACATCGATACCTTTGTGTTTGTGTTGTGTGTAAACAGTATTCAATATTAATGAATTTTTTTTATAATTCTATCTTCCGATTGTTTACATTTTAAATGATCTCACTCAATGAGAGTAAACAATCGTGTAGGCGCTATATGCATTTATTTATTCGGCTGTGTATTTTTTCCTTCATTTTAAGATAATTAAAATGTTTTTTTTGAGGAAAAAAATGTATTTGTAACCAATTACCGAATAACCAGTTTAATCAACTATAGGAGTATTTTGTATCTCCTATTGTTCTTTAATCTTATTTTAATAATTATTTATTTCGTACTCATTACACGCACAAAATGAAAATCGTTCTAGTATGAAGTAAGTATAAAATCCATTCCCACTCACTCAGTTTTTTTTCTAAGAATATACTTAAATAGGGTGGATCAATAGATATAAAATTGCTTAGACTATGACTGCACAATACACTGACATTGTGACATCAAAAAAGTTTTTTGACGGTCAGTAAAAATTTATTTTTAATCACCTATTGTTCACTTTGATTTCATCATCATCTCTTTTTCAACTAAGAATTCGTTAAATGCCTTGAAAATACTTTTTTATGTTTAAAAATGGAAATACATATATGTTATTGATATTATTAAATTCTTATATGTTAAAAAAATTATTAATTATTTGGAAGTTAATTATTCTTCATTTTAAAAATATTTTAATATTAGTAAAAGAACTAGCTTTCAATTAAACTATTATAATTTTTAATAATTAAATAATAAATATTTGATTATTTTATCATCTATTATTTTTACTACAATTTGTTTTAGTGATTTAGAGATAACTTTAATTGCATATTGAAACTGTACCTCAAGGCATATAATTTTTAACCAGTAAAAATATTTATTGTGTTTAAAATTCGTTAAATATCTAAAAATAAAAATAGAATGGAAAAAAATATTTTTTTAGCTATTTGTTTTTTTTTTTTTCTTAAATGTGCGCGTCACAATCAATTGATTGATAACAAAAAAGTATTACTCTTTTTATTTCCTCTGTGGAACATTTCCTTTGATTTATTCACCATTCTTCCATTCTCGCATGTTTTATTCGTACTTCATGCCATATAATCACACGCGTATACTCAATTAATATTTTTTTTCAATTTTATCCTATTATTTATCTTACTCATTCAGCTCTCCTCACACGCTGAGTTTCACTTTAATGACATATTAGAATAATATCAAATGGTCCAATGCACATATTGACCAAATATAAGCAACAATATATACACATTAAAAAGCATTGTTACAATAGAAATTGTCAACTATTGGAAATTCTTTGAGTAAAATAATAAAGATAGGTACAGAGAGGCGTGTGTGACATTCAACCCTTTCAATCTCGGTCGTTCTCAACGTGTGACTTATCAAAAGTTTTATAAAAGCCATTGGCAATCATTGTAAAATGATTTTCTTTACAAATTGACACAATTACTTTCTCAATATTATTAATCCGTTTGTTTTTGCATTGATTTTTAATTTATTTCATTATTATCTCGCTCAACAACACGCCATAGAGGGTGATTAATATTAATTACTCATAATTTATGCATAAACATTAAATTATATTTTTTTTTAAAAGCCTCAAAGTTACCACGCATCTTTTATACATCAATCAGTTTTTATTTAATCCATACCATTTGGCTTTCTTTTAAATCTTAAGTTATCTCCCTATACATGTAAAAAAAATTATTCGGCAAAGCTTTTTCGAGTCTTGAATAATTATATAAAGCCATTAATTTAATAAGTAATCGAGCATTGCATCAGTAAATATGTTTTTTTTTCAAGTGTTATCTTCAACTCAATACTGCACTTATGTTTTTAATAAAATTCTTTCAACACTCATTCTTATTTTTCATTTATTTTGCACTAAATTATTTATTATTCGTATTCCATACGATATATGCAACATTCAATTCTCATTATGCTTACTATTATTTTTTTCTTTTAATATATTACTTAATTAATATGAGAGTCAAATATTATTTTATTCTATTTTTGTTAATTATTTTATTTTATCATTTAATCATCATTAAGTAGGCTCATATTGATCATCACGAAAACAAATCCTTGTTTTTTTTAGCCAAAACACCAGTGGAAGTGTAATAGGTCCCTCATTGTGGGGTTAGTGTGAATAGAAAAAGAGGCCAATGATTTAATGTCCAAATATTGCCACAAAGATTTACACATTAGGCAATGACATAAATCTTATGTCCAAGGAAGATAGGAAAGTTCAAGTCAATAGTTCAAGTAAATGACAAGTAGACAATAGTCAATATTCTGCGCTCATTTCATGACCAGAAAAAGAGAAATCGTTGATTGTTCATCCGTCATTTCATTCGCATCTAATCGAGATCCATCGTAAAATTCGAAATATTATCGCGACATATTGATTTATCACTTTTTTTTCTATTACATTGTTACACAATATTATATACGTACGAATGTATAAAACCTCAATACGACTAATTGGAAAAAATACGAGACACCAAGTACAGTAGACATACTTTATAAAAAACTTCATATGAAAAATATTTTTAAAAAACTACGAAACTTTATGACAATAATACTTCATTTCATCAAGGAAAGATAAAAAGTACTTATTATTATTATTTTTAGTTATTGGAGCGTAAGAATAAAAATTTAATTAAGATATAAGATAGATATTAAAAAAAAATAATACATAAAAATAAATATAAATTGACAATCTGTTAATAGATTGTTCTATCTTATTTAAATAATTTTATGAATTTTTATTTTTTGTTATGCTTTTCATTTTTATATTAATTAAAGGATGACTACTGTCTTTTTAATCATACTTGGTGACTCAGTATAAAAAGAGAAAAAAATATTAAAAAGAAAAAAATTATTATTTATGTATCTACTTTGCAATGTCGAATTAAAGATTTACCATGGCAATATATTTAAAATAATAACAAATTGTTATTTTTTTTATCATTATTTGTAACTATGGTATAAATAAGCCATTGTTTGGAATTTAGTTGAAAATAAATTTAGTAATACTTATTACATAAGAATAATTTTTTGCTTTTCACTTTTTTTTTCTCTCACTATAATTGTAGAAATATTATTTATTATTACACCCTTCTCGATAAATATTAACACTGATTAAGCTTCCAAGCGTCTAGATATTTATTTTTTGAAGACATAAAATTTGATTTTTACGATCAGTAGTAAAAAAAAATATATAAAAAATGTGTAAAGCTATTTCTTATCAATTGCACATATTTATCAAATTTACGTCTTCAGCAACAAAAATCAAATCAAGCTTTCCTGATCTAATATTCCAAATATATACAATTGAATTTTTTATTATAATTTTGTTTAAATTCGTAATAATTTTTTCAAATGGAATTAATTAATCAAAATAAATTTTAGATAATAAATACCTAAACATATAAAAATTATTTTGATACTTGGAGGCATAATTATTGTGCGTTGTTATAAAAAATTTAAATATTGTATAATTTAAAAAAAATTCTAAAAATGGTCATTGATATTCGAATCATTGAATTACTAGAAATGTAGTTGATTCCACAATACCGAACTGTATAAATTATGGCACATCTAGTGACGACTATTGTCCATTACTTTTGACCGAGGCAATAATTAAGACAAGATCACAAATGTCATTTTTCATCACTTTGACGATACTTAATATTATTTACGACATTGACTCTTTACTTTTAGTCTATTTAAAAAATTTTAACGTTTATTTTCAGGACAGTTTGTGGCATTTGGTTTGTAGAAAAAAATTTTTATATACATAAAATTAAGATGCACTAACTTGATTATTACTTGTGAATTGTCCACATTCTAAAATAAAAGAAAAACCTTTGCATTGTTTGGTTTAATCACGATAAAGTTATTGAGTTATGATGGCTTTGATCCAGTTAACAGGAATTGTAAGTTTTCTTTTTTTTTTTTTTGTTATTAATAAGACGGAATGGTAATAAGCATTTAATATCACTGCCGTGCATCGATCAAAATTCAAACAGATACGATTGGCATGGCACAACCTAAATGTCTCTTTTATAATGATAATTCTTACTATTGATAATTACTTCACAAAATCCATTTTCACAAAAATTCTAATGCAATAATATCATCAATAAGATTTATCTCTGTTTCCCATTCGACAATAAAATACGAAAATGGAAAGACAACAACACTAAATAATCTTTGCGACGCTTAATTACTACGATCCACATTTTAATAAATAAATCTTTTATTAGTATTAATGATTAATTCATGAAAAAAACACATTCATACTGCATTATGACACGTCAATTGACTTCAACTATATTTTTCTCGGCCATTTGATTCATTGGAAATTGTTTCGTATCATTCAATTTATGATGAGAATATTTAAAAATGCTAAATCCTTCATTTTACATATTTGGACTAGTGAAAACTGCTATAAATATTGTAAAATTTAAGATAAGACCAAATACTATACCGATTAATTAATTAATAACGCGTTCCGGGCTTTTCAGTATTTTCCAGGCCAACGACTCTAGTGATAAATAGGTCCATAATCGCCTTATTTATATACCAATTTTAGGTCCTCGTTTCACAGTTTTATAGTCCATAACTAAACCATTACGATAGCTTCTTTGTCACAAAAGAGGAAAGGATATTGATCGATCATTGTTTGAACAACATCTTCTAAATATGGCCTCATAGCTTCAAATCTACCCAGATCATTAAATTCGATTGGCAATAACGTTGGCCACCAACATATTGCTAAATTTTTACTATCCATGCTGTTTAACTTACAATTTTCTGCCACTCTGTAAAATATTAATAAGATAGTTGATATCAGTAACTAGTCAATCAAGAATTTTATCAGTACATCATTTTATAGTTAATTTCTAAATTTATAGCTCAATTATTGAATTAATTACTAGTTTACTCACTTCACAAAGTGCTGGAAAATGAATTTGAGGACGTCAAAATTAACTGGATTCAGTTGATTAAGCATAGATCTTAAAGCAAGTAGTCTACAGCTAGGATCTGAAACAATAATTACAAAATAAATTTGATTCCTTGAGTCTATTTATTGTTAGAAAAAGCGTATCTTCAGATGAATATTTACCTTCCATATTCATTCCAGAACCAGACATTGGTTTACTCACTCCTCGTGCACCTGATAAAATTAAATTTTCAAATAACATTTTGGTTACGACTAGCTTTAATAAATCTGATTTACCGCTTTCAATCAGCTTACCAGAAATATTTTCCAATTCAGCCATTCGCTCTTTATCGATAAGTGGTGGTAATCTTTTCACAAAGAAGTCCTTAAGTGCAGTAGCAACAGCATTCACAGGAATATCCAATAAATGTATGTCAACATTACGATCTAAAAAAAATATCAATAAAATTTATAGAGACGTAAATAATAAAGCATTATTTCTATAAAGCTTTAGAAAATTCTATAAACTTCTATTAGTTTTGTCAATATATTTCATTTTAAAAATTCTTATAAATCATTGAACAATTCTTGCAAACCACAGTTAAGAACAAATCAATTTAATAAATAAAAAATATATTGTGTATATTGAAATCCACCTATTTTTAAAAGATAAATAATAAGATAATAGCATAAAAAATACTATACCTTCTTCAAACTTCTGGAAAAGTAATTCCACATGAGCGCGATTTCCTGGAACCCTGTAAATCCCTTCAGAATCAAGTCCTTCGTCCTCGATGAAGTTGACACATTTCTCCAAAAAGAGTGGTATTCGGTTCGTTTCACTCTGAGCAAAATCCTCGATGAGAGATGGCTGACATTGCCCTGATATTGAAATACTGCTGATCGGTCCTTTAGGAGGTTTAACTTTATCCTGCTTCTTCTTTTCTCTTTCACGTTCCTTTTCCGCACTCTTTTTCAGTTTTTCTTCCTTTTGTCTCCGTTTTTCCAACTTCTCATCTTCTTTCGCCTTCTGTTTGTCCTTCTTCCTCGTAAGTTTGTCGCAGTCTTTGCCCTTTGGTAAGATTCCATACTGTAATTAGGTATGTCATACTTATCTAACAACTAATGATAATAAATAAATACAACCCTTTTGACCAAAGTTTGTTATTTAAAAAAAAAAGTAACAAAATTATTAATGACTTCAAATGCATCGAAACTGTAGTAATTGAAAGTAAAGATAGAAAGGTATTAAATAATAAGATTTTTTTAGATTCTACAGAAAAAAAAATATTTACTTCAATGATTTTTGAAACAGTTTGTGCACTATTAGAAAGATTAGAAAAAATGTTTATGCTTACACTTGGAGAATTAATGTCCCTTGGTGATGACACGTCGAGGCTGGACTCGTCATCTGGAATACCAACGGAACTTTTGGAAGAAAGTTCTTTTGAAGTTTAAGAGCATGCAAAAACATCCAGATCATTCAAATATATGGGAATCTCATGTTATTCCCTAAATGAGTGTTAGAGTTAATGATGGGGACTCACAGGACACACTGAACATATCCTGGGTTACGTGTTTCAGGTTGAACGGATGCTGTAGCGTAGTCGCTGAGTTTCCAAATCGCTTTCTCACATTAACCGCGCTGTGTTTATTAGGTTTTAATCTGGACCTCGTGCCGTGCTCCGGCTCACTCGACTCGGAACTATCCGGCGTTTCGCTTGATACTATTGAATATAATAGACTATCTTGAGCAACTGAAATACTTTCAGGAACACAGATAGTCATATTATATGGTAAAAAATAATAATCATACCTCGTTCTATCGGATCGATACGCCAATTCTTGTCGTCCTTTCCATAATTCAAACCAATGCTACCATCTCCACTTGCCATACTCGCTAATGAAGGTACCTTTGGAGTTGCTACTGGGATTGCGGTACGTTTCTTACGTGTACGCTTGTAACTTGATGGTTTTTTATTCGATTTACCCATAATGTCTACCCTTTGTCGCTCCAGTGAACTCCACTCTGAATCTGAATCGCTGTAGGCTGCAAAAATATTTCAAAACTTTCATTTATGCTAGAACTAGGAATATTTAATGTATTTCATCAATGAACTTTTTATTAGCTGGAGTATAAAATAAAATTTAGTATTTCATGAGATAGCAAAAATCTTGAAAATTTATTAAAAGCGAAAAAAAATTTATCGAATGAAAGGAAAATATTTTTTTTTAGAAAACTTACATGGCTGTCCTTTTTCTCTCCTATGTCGTAGTTTTGATTTATTATTTGAGATAGAATCTTGCACGAGAGCATATGCATACTCCCCTTCATAAGCAGGATACAGATTAGGAACGACATCTTTGGGATGAGCATATTCAAGATCTACAAGCTCTGGCGTTGCTAACGGTGCATGGCCCATTAATTTCGAACCATGATCACCTTTTTCTCCTACACTCATCCTTGCTATCGCATCTGTCACATTAGAAAAATCTTTCAAATTAATTTTGCCCGGTTGCTTCAACGTCTGACTGTTGCCTTTGGGTCGTGATTTAGATTGAGGAATGTTACGTCGACCCGTGGTAAAAGCTCGATGCGAATAAGTGTTAGAAACTCCATCGTGATGCATATTAAAAGTTCCTTTCACCCAACCTATTGTGCACAAAAGAATAATCAAATTGACGTTGATGATTGATATTCAAAATGCAAAAAAAAACTCGAACCTGTTAGTTTATTAGTAAAATCGCCACCTTTGAGCAGTTCACGTTCTCTTTCTTCACGATGAAAATCTACTTGGCTGTAAATATCACTGTCATCGCTAGGTGTGGCTCGATGGTCATTGAAATGATCATTTAATCCTGTATCTCCCAACTCCCCATCAGGTGTCAACTGCTCATAAGACTCCGAACCACTCCTGAAAGTTACAGACATACTGTTTCGGATTAGATTCATAAGCTTAACGATATACAATTTGTATAAAATTGCATTGCTGTAGCCAATTTAAAAAATTACTAATTAGTAGAAATTAATTTTGAGTACGGAAACTTATATCACTTATCGTTTAATATTATTTTTACATACAATGTTTTTATAAAAGTTTATTCGGCTCTCATATAAGATAATAAACCTAGATTTATCTAATATTTTTTTTTAAAGAAAAATTAAATAAATAATGAATTAATTTAAAATGTCTTACCCATCATCTGGTGTCTGAAGATGATAGCTTTCATGACGAGGTGGAGGCATTGGATGTAACGCAGAATACTCTAAAGTACCCTCACCACTATCATTAAGATTTCCGGGCTCCTCCATGTGGAATGCTTGTTCAATTTCCGGTTTCTTCTCCCATACTTCTTTGAAAAAGGGCGTATAGAATGCAGCTATACGTTGAACAAATATTAGTTTAAAATTAAATTATACAAAGAAAATAAAGCCAAGTTTATTTTTGAATATACTACAATAATAACTAAATTATTTGTAATAAAAAATGGTTACTTTTCTGTTGACAACTAGAAGCTGATGTCATAAAATGTGCTTGAAGTCGATCTGCGGTAGCATTTCCTTCAGTGATAAGCAAGTGACTTAAATCGTTACTGAAAAATGCATTTGCACCGCCAGTATCTGTTACTGCCATGATTTGAATTGGTAAATTCGGTATGTTCATAGAAAAGGCACTGAAATATTTATAAAAAATTCATGGTAATTAAACAATAATTTAGTATCATAAAATCTTTAATATATTTTTACTTTTAAATACATTTTAAGTATTCCTTAAGAAAAGGAAAAAATGAAGATGAATGTTCTTTATGCTAGACTAAAAAAAAGATATACGTACTTTAGTGTTGCTAATGATGCTTTCCTTTTTGTAGAGTAAACCAGAATAAATCCATGAACTAACTCATCTCGAAAGGCGTTTGCACCGTGAAAACTTGAGATAATTACTTCAACTCGACGTTTAGATTCTCCTAAAAATGTTTCAAGTACTATCGATTTTTCACCGCTAAGAAAACAGCACTGATGATTGAGCAAAGGCCCAAGAACATTTTCTACTGAATAAGGATCCCCACAAAACATACACATAATTATTCTGTAAAAAAAAAGTTAATCATAGTATCTTTAAACATATATATTTTGTTCATTGAAAATGGGTAAAAACCTACCTAATATCAGGTTCTAAACATTCTATAACACTTTGGTAAATATTTAAAAATCCAGCACGATGGTTTATCGATTGTATAAGTTGCTGAAGCGCTTCTTTAACTAAGGAGCTAGGAAAACGCTTATCTGGTTCTAAATCTTCGACACAAACATCAATGAAAGGACATTGTAAGCTGTCAGCAAGACTTTGGCCTTCTTCTCTCAACCTCATGGCCTCCATTTCATCAATAGTTGCATCAGGAACGAACATAATGACAATTGGTAAACCCTGGAATGGTAATCGATCTTCTTGCTCTAAATTAGACAGTAGTGTTTTCTCTAAAGAAGATCGGATGTATTCAAAAGAGTCTTCGTTTGAGTAAATGCAAAAAGAACCTGAAAAGAAACACAAAATAACAATGTATTGCTTGCATCTTGAATGCTGATAGATTTTTGCATTTATTTGTTCTTTAAATTATCGAGTCCAATATCAATTACAATTTAATTGAAATAAGCAATCAATTACGGGATTTACTTTAAAAAAAAATAATGTTTACGTTTACATTAAAGTGGGTATTCAATAAATACTCCGAATGGATATTTGCATTCGAAAAATTGACAGATGGAAGTAATTAGTATTCTCATGAGAATCAATGACTCACCATGTGGCATAAAATCGGATGTTGTAAATGAATTATGCGGTAATCCAACGTCACCATCAATGACTCGATATCCAAGTGTATATAACTGACAGTCAATCTCTACTTCGTCATCTTCCGTTTGTGTTTTTATCTCATGTGCAAATTCACTTCCGAGTCCGTTGCAGCCGAGTATTACTAAATTTAATTGATTATTTTCTGATGTTAACTGCCATTGACTACTGTGATTCCATGACGACGGCCTACATCAATAATTCAAATAATTAACATTGTCATAATTATAATAATTCAGTGCAATTCATAGTTTGTATAATATATGTATAATAATATTTATAATATAATTCATTATTAAACCTGTGGGCTTTTGTTCCGAGAATTCGTTCAATAAGGGCATCCATACAATTTGGGAATGCAGGACAGTGTTCACGAATTGGACAATGAACAAATCCTAAATGTTGGAATAACATCAACTTTCTATCTTGATCCAATCTATCTAATGCTTTGTACCTATGGAAAGGATAAAAAAATAATAGAGGATTTTCTTTCTATTATTTCAAATTAATAAATAAAATATTTTTTACCTAAAGTCGTCTAGTAAAGCGTCAGTAATTTCTTTAATGTCATCTTGTGTAATGGTACCAGATGGAGCAATACTTTTAAAGTGATAAAACAAGTCTGCATGCTCTAGTAAAAGTTCCTAAACAAAAAGAAAGATATTGAATAAAATGAATAGCAAGGGGAAAAATAAAAATCGATAAAGTTTTTTTTTACCTGAAAATTATGTTTCGCTCTCTCAATTATTTCCTTCTGATGATGATCATAAATTTCTTGACAATCATGATGAGAAAGTGCTTCGAAACACTCGCGACCCATGAATAATACACGTACTTCTGACAAATGTTTTCCAGGCGTAACATATCCAGTTTCTTCAAGCAATTGTTTGAATTGTTTCTTCCATCTAATAAAATATCAAGACATTATTCATGAAGAAACTCTATACAGTATAATAATTCAAGAATAAAAATAAATGAAAATGTAAGATTAAACTTTGTCATTAGTATTTTCATTAAACTCGAAGATCTTCTTTATCATTAACGTCGTGTACTATAATTAATGTAAATAAAATAAAAAAAGTTTTGCCGTGGGTTTAAAAAGTGATAGAAAAAAGAAATCAATATCGAAATTTATAAGTTTTACAGTAAATTACCTTTTTGGAAGTCTGCGTAGAGAAAACGCCACCAAAAATAAAGCAAAGCATTAATATTGCGAATAAGTCGTAATGAATGTTTCATAAATAATTAATTATACAATGTTCAATTTGTTTATGTTATATACTACGCCTAATGCATAACTTACAGTAAATACATAAATCTAAATAATTAATGTTAAAAATATATATATATATTCATTAGAAATAGGTTCTAATGATAATGATAGCAATAATAATATACGATAAAATTTTTTCACGTACTCAAGACGTCTTTGCTCTTGCTGCAATGCATTTATATGATTTTTAAACACAGTTTCAGCCTCAGGAGTTTCGAGAACTTCATAAGGTATTTTACTGGTATTATTTTCACCGAAATCATAGTCTACCCATGAAATATCTTCAGGGCATTCATAAAAATGCTGATGAAAATCAGGATGATCTTTAATGTATCTTTGAACAGTAGACCACTCCCTGAAAAATTATCGTATTGTTTTATGAAGAGTTAAAATACTTGACAATTAAAATTAATGATGAGAAATAACTCACTCGTTGATAAGTGTTGAAACGTCTGGACAAATTTCATGAAGAATATCTGGTAACATGTCTAAATACCCTTGAATTTTTTTAGCTATCGCTTCATCTTTTAATTTTTTAATATGCCTCCTAAACAGCCTCTGTGTAGCATCAATACCAAATAATTCTACAAAATTCATAAATTCCTTGTGTTGACCAAGTTTTTTCGATGCTTGAGACCATAATGCTCGATAGTCTGTTATATGTAACCGTATTAATCTCTGTAGGGAGTCAGTTGAGGCATCCAATAATTCTTTTCTTGTTTTAGCTGCTTCTGAATATGGAACAATTTTACTTCTTATTTTAGTTTTATCAATTATTTGAGCCAAGACTAGAAAAGCAGCATCAATATTGATATTTTCATGTGCTGAAGTTTCTACAACTACGATAGATCCTTTATATTCCTTTCGAGAAATCAGTTTTTCAGCCTCTTTAACATACATTTCATTAGCATCGTCATTTTTAGTTGTAACTAGCACGATGGGTTTTTTTGTTTTTATTAAATTATTAAGAATATTCGATACAATTTCGATTTGTTTTTCAATCGATCGATTTGGTACTACACTGACGTCAAAAACACATAAAAAACCATCGATATTCAGCTTTCCATCAGGTAGCACTTTTTGTTCATATTCTTTCTCTATTCCTAACTGATTCTTACAAATGTACATGAGCTTTTCAGCACTTGTTATTTTTGTAGCAGAACACCTTTTAGCATAGGGCTCCATTTTGCCTCCTTTGAATGGTTGAAACGAAGCATCATCTATGAACTCAGTATGTTCTATCACTTGAAACTGAAATTCTGTTCCATCTTCAGCAAACTTACTGACCTCTCCCCAGTATAAAAAGTGATCATTGTTAACAACACGACCACTGAAATCCGACTGAAAACAATTCATAAAATTAATTCGTAGTAATAATGACATATGTTTTATATAATAATATCGATTGCTAGTAGATCTTTTAAATAAATTACTAAACAATGATAAAATTACAAATAATTTATAACAGTGAATCATCACTCATTAAAAATATAATCATTACTTGTAAATGTTTAAAAAATTAAAGAAATAAATGTAATTAATTAAAATAAAAAAGAAAAATATGCAAAAAGGGATTGAATCAATTGTCTAGGGATAAGTTTAAGAAGAATTTGTCAAGAATTGATAAGGAAAAAAAATGATATTACCTGTGATAAAACAGAAATGTGATCAACACTATAATCATCACTGAGTGATCTCATAAATCGATTACAGAGACATGACTTGCCAACTCCAACCTGTCCTTTGTCTTTCTCTGTACCGGATAAACCGACTACCGCAACGTTAATACTCTTCAAATTATCACTTTTTCGTGCCATATTTGAAGTGATATTTTAGTCAGCTAACACCAAATATTAACAGGCTTTATTGCAATGTTAACTCCAAACAACCTCCAGTCATCACTTACAACAATCCTTGCACATTACATTTATAAAACATTCAAAGTCTTGTTAATTATCTTTGGTCGTTGTCACAATAATTAGCACTCTATGTAAAAATTTATAAACTTCTTCTTTGGCAACATTTTTGCCGAAAATTATCAATTTCTATTCTTGCCTTAATTTCTTTAATTGCCTTTCACATTTCATTGTCAAGTATCATTAATTCAAATGTCTTCTTATATTCCGGTTTTGTTTTTCGTCGAAGAATTGTGCGTAAGAAATATTCGTTGCATCTGTGTTAATTCATTAACACACTTAGTTCTGATTGTAACAATAATATTAATTATTGTATTTATGGACTGGTTTTATTCAAATGTTTTTTGATATAATTTTTTTCATCCAGTAAAGATTAAAACTCAAGAAAACATTATCCCAGGATCACGTTTTTTACATAAATTTATTCGAGTATTTTATTGTTTGTTAAGCTTCTTTAACAATGAGCAACGTTATTTTGAGAATGGCACTATCTGTAAAGAAAATAATTCTTTGTACATGGAATAAAAATTTAAAAGAAAAAAAAGAAAAAATTACACATTAATTTAATGAAATTATTGATTAGGTCTACTTGCAAAAAAAAAAGAAATTGAAATCATGATGAATTCCAAAATATTCAAGATTCATAAGAGTCTATAACAACAAAAACGATTATACAGCGACTGAAAACACAAATTTAAATATCGTTTAAAAAAATTTAAATATATTAAAAAAAAAAATTATTTCGAAAAAATAATTATCAAAAGCGATATCAGGAACGCTAGCGTCACACAGGTGCCCCTTGGATGAAAAAATTGTACAAAATATCAAAATGACAGACATAGATAGATCAATATGCTTTGTACACAACCGTAAACGTTTCGATAATGTAATTAATAATTTGCCCAATAAAAAAAATTCATTAATAAAAACCTTAATTACACTATCATTTTATATCATTTATAACTTTACAAAAACACTTAAGTAATAAGGATTCAATAACATGATAATCAAAGAATTTAATGCCCCGTAAAAAGTTCGATATTGCTATACTGACCTGTCTGGCACGCCAACCGGCCGTCTCTTAGTAATTATTAACTAAAACATGGCGATCTATTACACCTATTATCACTTTATGATTTTTTTTAAGCACACAACGTAGCAACTAAAGTGTAAATGTTTCTAATTATTGTTCTAGACGAGCGTTATAGGCAAACATGTTAATAACATCACGTCAAAAGTTGAATGCTACTCCAGAACGGAGCCATCTTGCTGGGTGGGCACACGACGGTCGATGTTTTTTGGTTGGAGTGTTCACTATAGCTAGATTGATGCCGCTGGGATGCTGAGACTCTGATATATTATTTGTTAAAGCAAAAAAAAACAACTAAGTCGTTTGAAATAATTATCAGAAATTGAATTAAAATTTATAGATCATATTATGAATAAAATGCACTGAGTTATTGTAAAAATATTATCTCTCTCGTCAATAAAAATCACATTAACAAACTCGATTTTTTATCAATGGAAACTGTAAACTATATATTTAATTCATTCATTAAATTTCATGTAGTATGGTTTATTACGATTTATTTTTTTGAAAATAAAATTCAGATTTTATATGTAGAAATAAATTTAGAAAATTTATAGAATTAAAGTCAATTACCTTTTTATACAATAGTCCATCAAGTAAATAATTACATTATTATAAATATTAATATTTTTTTTTTCATTTTAAAGAATTAAAATTTCTGCGCGCTAAAGAAGTGACGTTTATCAGACTCTATAAAAAAAAATTTCATACTTTTTTATCGACTGTAAATATATTGTCTCACTAAAAAGAACTACTTTAGATAGCGATACTTGTATCTTCAACATTTATTTACATAAGAATAATAATTATTTTATAATTTATTTTTAATTCATTGTATAAATTATTTTCTCTCTAGAGAATTTTTCCATTAAAAACCACTAAATATAGTTATTATATTATCATTAACTTGATCATCATTAATGGTATTTATGAGCTGTCATTTTACTATTACTATTTGGAGTAAAATGACAACTGTAAACCAATAATGTAGGCAATAAATAGAAGTTTCAAAATATTTGATTGTTGCTTAAAAACATTCACTAAATCTTTTCTTAGTCACTGTATATAAAACTTTTAAGCATCATTATTTGTAAACATGGAACAATTGTAGAGCTGTGAATTTGAATAAATTAATTTTGCTCTAAATACGACAATCATAAATTAAATTACAATTAATTCTTATCTTTACTAATAACTTAGATAGCCAATAGATGTATTTGTATTTAATTAGAATTTATTTTGAATACAAAAAATTTTTTACAATTTTTTTCTATCAAATCAGTAATATCTATAATTGTAAACTTCAATAAATAGAAGTAGAATCTCTAAATAGAGGTATAATTAAATAATAATTTAAAAAGTATTTTTTGAGCTTATTATTGTCTGAAAAGAGATACAAATACATAGGTAAACAACAAATATTCATTCATTCATATTTGATTGACATTTAGTGATCATTAATTTTTAACAATCACTATATTCATTCAATATTCTTGCCATTGATACTATACACCATCATTAAAACAATTTTCGATGGAAATTACATGCGAAAGCGAAGAATATCACTAATGTAGTTTAAATTAATATTACTCATTAAAAAATGAGGAAACAATCTAAAAAAATTTTTAATTTTTTTCATCTAAATTGAGTTGTTTTTTTCAATTTACGAAACGTTTATTACCCATTCTATATCATTGACTGAAATCTTTTACTTTTTTCCTAAACTTGTGTGTAGTATGGTTCAGATTTGGAAGTTTTTTTTTTTTTAATTCCTGTAAATTTATTTTTTTTTTGTCAAGGAAAAAAAATTGAAGTAGTAATAAGTTGCTTTGTTTTTGATAAAAAAAAAAATTTCAGATTAAAAAACTAATTCTCACTATCGTACTGCCATGCACATGTCTACGACGTCTGTATGAATGCTTACATCTAATAAATACAAAAATCTTATTTAAAATATATATATCCAGACATATCAAATTTTATATTCCATCTCTTCACCTGACTTAAACTCTGGTATCCATTGGTACGATAAAAAAATCAGAAAATCCTATAACTTGCCGTAAAAACCGTGTACAATCTTTTTCATTTCATAAAAAAGTAATCTTTATAGATAATATAAAAAAGACTAACAAATTTCCGGCTCATTTTTTAGCGATTATCTTTCGCTCGCTAGCATATTTTGTGTTTATCTATTCTTAGAATAATATTAATAATATCCACAATTTCGTGCATAGTCGTTGTAAATGAAATTCCGATGAAAAATTCGTGCATTTATCAAATTAAAATATTTAAACAAATTTTTTTTGAACTGTAACGCATCAGTCTTAGCCTGAGGTTTTTGTAAAACAATTCCCTCACGATAGAAGAGGTTCGTTAATAAATAAAGATGACATTTTGACTGAACTTTATCCTCTTTAAAATTTTTTTTGTTCTTACAATCAGGCACTCTCTGAATCATCATCATATGATAGAATATTAGTACTTCGAGGTAGCAATAGAGCTACATGTCCATATTTACGGCTCTTATATTTTTCTTGTATTGCCTGTTGCGGAAGAGTAGGAGCATTTGCAAAAGTTTCACACAAACACCTTATGCATTCTTTTAAATCTTGAAAACTATACCCCGTAGATAATTCTAACTCGTGCGGCCAAGCTTCTTCTTGAAGTGTGTGTCGTGCAACAGCAACGGCTGCAGCAGCTAAATGACTTGGCAAAAATTGTAGATAATCATCAGCTTCGAGTAGGGATAATTCACACAAGTACTGGAAAGAAGTTAAATTTAAATGAGTTTGCTAAGAAACGTATTAACTTGAAATCAAAATTTGTTATTGTTATTATTATGAACCTACCATGGCAAGGAATAAAACTTTTTCCGATAAGTTATTACTTATACACAAATCCTTGAGAAAGGTAAGAGGTGTGGGAACGGTGAGGTCAAAAGATAAAACCCGAAGAATTAGGTGTTCCATTCTAAGTACTTGTTTCTTAGAATAAGTATCGTCTGTGATGTAAACAAATTCCCCAACATCAGGTGCATAAATTTCTTCATATTTAGCTGCAATAAACATAGCCGCAGTACCAACCAGTTGAAGTTTTGCTCGAACTACACTCATATAAGATAAAAATCTATCAACATAAGAGACTGCTAGATATAAAGTTTCACTTTGAAGACGATATTCTTCAGCAACTTCCACTAGCCAATCTACAAGAATTGCTCTCATCTCGTATGTTATGTCTGGTTGTTTTTTCATATACCCTGGTTTTGGTCTGTGATTAGTCTGAAACAAAACATTTTTTATGTATTTGCAAATTCGTGATAAATTTTTTTTTTCAATAAAAACAATTTTACCTCAGCAACTCTCAAATAGTTATAAATATCTTCTCTGTATTCATCAACATCATAGAAACTATTTTTTATAGCTTTTGGAATATCACATTTTTTCCTTTCTTTTGTAGCAGATTCGACAGATACTAGTGATTTTTCCAAAGACATGGGGCTACCATGATTATAATCTGCATCCTCTTGTTTAGTAGAAGTCGTAATTTCTTGAAGTACTGGTCTGTATTTAGGTACGATTTTCACTGGATTTACTTCTAAAACGGGTCTTTCTTGTTCCGATTTAATATTAATTTCTATCACATGTTTAGTGTGAATTTCATTACCATCTCGAGTTTCTCTATGATTTATCGATTGTTCTTCTTTTTCTTCATAAATTTGAAATGGAGCTGTATCTCTTTTTTCTTCATATACTTTGAATGGCTCCAATTGTGGTGGTAAAAATGCTTTAACTTTAGCAAATTTTTCATCTTTATTACTGTTCTCCTGTAATATAAAGAATAAATAAGTATTGAAAGTTAAATTCAACGAAATAATAAAAAAACAAAAATGCAAGTAAATTGAGGCTAGAAAAGGCGGCATGTACTTACAGGTTTGTTCCTATGGCAATTGTTGTGTAGGACGCCGAGTACGGCTCGTTTCTGTTGAACTCCGTGTCCTTGGTGGTGATCTCGAAGAGCATTTTCTTTTCCACGTCTAGTTTCTGTGATTCGATTTTCTTGATCATCATAAATTCTGATTGTAGCCATATTTTTAACTAAGAATAAACGTGTTTCGTTGGCTTGTCTTTTTCTATTACACCAATATCCAAATATTCTTTACTCTTTTTAACGGCTCCACTCTCACCGAAACCGATAAATTATATATCGAAAGCTACGAGAAGAGCTCGGTTTCTCGATTTTAAATATTAATATGAAGTTACGAAAGCATTTTGATAATTTTAAGGGATTTTTACACTGGCTTTTCACGCTTACAGTCTCACGGCAAGATCACAACAGCCTGCCAACAGTTTCCTCTTCGTTCCTTCCACATTCGTCTCACTTGCACTCACTGATTACACCTCCTTACCTTTAGCGCCCGTTTGATTTTCAAATAAACGTACAAATGGTGTAACAGCTGTCGTCAAGAATAGGAACGTTACTCGGCGTTGCTTAAAATCTAACCAATCACAGCAACTGTCATTCAAGCAGATGAATATCGACCAATCAGAAGCCTCAATTCAAAACGATGAACACTTATACCGACCTGAATAGTTGAAAATCTGCTATACCAACATAAAACTGTAAAATGAAGAAAAATAAAATTACTAAATTTCAGAGTTAGGGACTTTTCATAATTACATGTGGTTCCAATGAATTAATTAATCTGTCAATCTGGAGGGTAGAGCAGATTTATGTTACGGAGTAAAGAGATAAATTGCAAAATATTTATTTAAACAACAATAAAATATTAAACACAATTTTAACAATCTAGATTTACAATCAATGAAAAATGCAGAACAATAAATCTAATAATGTGAATTAAGTGCTTCGAAATGGCTAATGAACCGCAAATTATGCTGAATGCTGTATCATTATCTGTCGATTATAAATGCCGACGATTAAACCATGCAATTACATTAAAGTATTGTGAAAAACAATGTGAAAGAATTTGCTATTTAATTTGGGCGTAAGTTTTTTGTGATTAATAATAAAATGCAAAAGATATTGGACTATTGTGAGTGATAAATATTAATGATGTTTATTTTTTTGTTCTTTAGATAATTGCCCAATTGCCCTTTATTATGAGAGAAGTTTTACTTTTGTGCTTCCTTATCGAAGCACTAAAACTTGTTTTAGGATTTTCATGTCCTCCTGTATGTACTTGTAGACGTGTTGGACCTCAAGCTGAACGACTGAAAGTTAAATGCAATAAAGATCTCAAAGAAATTGATTTAAATTCTATCGGCGTCGAGCTTTATCATCTAGATTTAAGTAAAAGCAACATTCACACAATAGAACCTGGAACTTTCAAAAATTTGACCAACTTAAGACGATTAGATTTATCCAATAATAAAATCACAGCATTGAACGAAGGAAATTTTATTGGATTAGAAAATTTAGAAAGATTGGACCTGAGTAAAAATGAAATTTCTTCAATAGATTCTGTAGCTTTTCGACCCTTGGCTAATCTTAAAAAGCTGTAAGTATAATGGCTATGAATTATGCAATGATTTCACTAATTAGCTGAACGCTTATTTAATTTATCTCAATTCTTTTTTTTTTTTGCTTAGAGATTTGTCCGCTAATAAATTAAGCACTCTGGATACGTCTTTATTTCATGATTTACTGGCATTAGAGCGCTTGTAAGTATTTTTATTTTATCGAAATTTAATTTTTATTATTTGTAGCATTTTTCAAAAAATTAAATAATTAAAATTATCCGCTTGAATAATTATTATTAATTTTTTATAGAAAACTCAGTGGTAATGCCTTAAAATCATTATCAGAAGGAACTTTCCATGGATTAAAATTACTAAGGCAGCTGTAAGTACTGAATGGTTATTATTATAAATAAATATTTATATGTTTGAAACGAACAAGTATTTAATAATTATATATTTTACAGAGATTTAACAAATAATCCTTGGAAATGTGACTGCTATTTATATTGGCTCAGTAACTGGAAGAATGATTCTATTTTCAAACTAAAGTAATAATCATAATCGAAAATATTCCATTTATATTATACATAAAGTTAACTAAATTCAATTTTTTTAGTCCTGCTCCTATATGTGACAGTCCAGAAATGTTTCATGGAAAATCAATTCTTGATATGAAGCTATCCAACGAATTTCAATGTCAATGGACTTCTCCTATAATAGATATTTATCCAGATCAAAATCAGGTAGTGTTCGCGGGTGATTCAATATCTTTAAAGTGTAGAGCTCCGAGTATCACTGATGACAGAAGTGCAAAACTAAATTGGCTGTGGAATCCGAGTTTAATTGATGATAGTCCTAAATTATTTGTTGACCCACAAGAAACGTTATCTAATATTAAAGTAGACAATCGATACTTATCAGATAGCGGCATTGTCGACAGTTCTTTGAGTATTTTTCCAGTAAAACAAGAACATAATGGTCAATGGAATTGTTTACTATATTCTATCCATGGTAATAAAACCAAATCAATTAGTATAATTGTCATATCAGAAGATACACGCTACTGTCCACTCGCAGTAACAAGAAATAATAAAGGAATGTATGCTTGGCCGCGAACAGTAGTTGGTTGGAAAGTTGAGCTACCTTGTGAAGGAATAATATCGTCAGGGATTTCATCAACATTATCTAAAGCTTCCTATCAATGTGACTTAAGTGGAAGTTGGACTGATCTAAATACTGACTTTTGTCCATTTATTTCATCAATAACAAGAACTTTAGAACAGTTTTCAAATTTAAACCTAACGTTAACTAAAGAAAATTTATTAGAAACCATAAAGAGATTTAAAAATTTTACTGAAGACTCAAAAAAAATTACAGATGAGATTGAATTGAATTTTATCACCAAAACTATCGAGAACTATGTAAATTTTATTGAAGAGGAAAAAGAATTAAGTGCCATTCTAGTTGGTATAATAAGTTCTTTGATGAATTTACCAAAAATATTATTAAAGAAATCAGAGTTGAATTATAATGTATGCAGCAGATGGATTAAATCTTTAGAACTTATAACCAAGTCTACTCCAGCAATTCAAATACATTTAAATAATTTAGCTTTAGAAGAATTCCATATAACGAAAGAGAGTTTTGTAGGATTATCATGCACCTGGTACAGCAGTTTAATTGACGATTTAAATGCTAAGTTTTTACATTGCGCTACAAGTAATCGAACAGCAATTTTAAATATTAAAGATAAATCTATCGAAGCTTCAATTAGACTTCCATCATCTCTACTAAGTGCTTCCGATCATTCTTCTACATGTTCCTTGATGATTTCAATGTTTAGTCATGGTATTTTATTTCCAAGAATTCCAGAAAATTATTCAGAAGTCACTTCTGCAGTTATTGGAATTAAAGTCATCGGTACAACAGTAAATTTAACAGAACCAGTAATGGTAATGTTAAAAGTATCTCACTATCACATGGCTACACCTCCAGTTCCTATGATTTGGGAAGAAAAAATGAATGAATCAGGAAGATGGACACCAGATGGTTGTAGACTTACTAATTTAATAAATAATATCGTAGTTTTTCACTGTGATAGATTAGGATACTATGGTCTACTAGAAGATACTTCATATTTAATGAAAATGAATACGACAGGAGCTAAATTTCGATACTCAAATCCTGCTATTTATGTGGGAACATTTATGATAATTACTTGCCTGACTTGTATGTCTGTGACTTATATTATTTGTTATACATCGATTATTATGCCGAAAAGGGCGAAGCACAGTGTAATTAATACATGGATTGCTATAACGCTGTTATGTTTTTTATACACCGTTGGAATTCAACAAACAGAAAATATTGAAATTTGTCAAGGAGTAGGATTAGTTTTACATTATTTGTCACTCTGTTGTCTTCTTTGGATGGCAGTTTCTGCAAGTAATATGTACAAAAGATTATCCAAGTCAGATATTACTGTTATTCCGGATGATGAAATACCAGAGCAGCCTATTCAAAAACCTCTTTTGGGTCTTTATCTTGTTGGTTGGGGAATTGCTTTAATTGTTTGTGGTATATCAGGTGCAATAAATCTTCGTGAGTATGCAGGATATTCCTATTGTTTTCTCACATCTGGACCAGCATTAGCAGCACTATTTATACCAGCTATTATTCTTATCATCTATTTAACAATTTTTTATCTTCTTGTTCGGTGTACTATCAGAAATGTTAATCACAACGGTCAATTATCAGAGGGTACTCAAGCTACAGAAAATGTTGACTTAGAGCTTTTGGAACCTCATGAAAATCGTGCTGATCAAAATAGCATTAATAGTACTCAGACTGTTTCATCAGAAGTAGAAGATATTGAGCATTCGCAAATTACTCAATTAAAAGGACATATAATCATTCTTATTTTATACTTAATAATGTGGAGTTCAGGTGCAATTGCAACTGCACAGCCATTTAGTCCACACATTCCTTACGATGAAATGATTTTTTCAATTCTTTATGCCATTTCTTCAAGTACTTTAGGTTTATTTGTACTATTATTTTATGGAATAGCTAGAAGTGATGTAAGATCACAGTGGACGAGAATGAGATGTTGGCTAAGAAAAAAGAAAAATCGTTGCTGTAGAACACGGAGTGTGTCTGACGCTAACCCATCAATTCCGGCCCAACCTTTAGTTCAAAATATTACTCCAGTTATTACTCAATCTCAAGCAATTCAAGCAATATCTGACAGCAATTCTATTAGTTCATCAAGACACACAAGCCATTCAACTAATGGTAAAGGAAGTAAAGCGATTGAATTTATTAAAGAACCTTCAGTAGTACCTAACAAAAAAGCGAATGTAAATTTAGTGGTTCTTCATCGTCAACAATATCGGTCGAATAACTCTGTAACTACTTATACTGAAGCTTCTCCAGCAGTTTGTGTGGAAATGTTTTATAATCCTCATCAAAGTGGTGTAGCGAGAAAATTCTTTAAAAAACAACGAAGAAATATTAAACATAACAATTTAGGGCCAAGAAAGCAGGGCGATGGAGGTGCCACAAGTGATAATGGAAGTTGTATTTCACTTCCACGGCCTGCAGTTAAATTATCAAATGATATTGATAATATTAATACTTCTATCTTTGGAAGTAGTGTTAAAGTTAATAATACAAATATTCATGTAGAATTAAATCCAGTAAATGACGTTAAAAATGTTAATATTCTTTCTGATAGTGGTGGAAGTGTTTCTGAAGATAGAAATACATCTGTAAGGTATGTTATTGGTTCAGAAAATATAATGCGAAGTGTAAAAAAAGTTAATAGCGATCCCATAAGTGAATTAACTACAAGAAAAGAAACTCTATCAACGTTAAGCCCTAATGAATCAGATGTAGATACAAGGACTGAAGAAATAAAATTTTGTAGAAACGTCTCACAGCAGTGTAGTCTTGAGTATAGTTCAGAAGTTGAAACTACGACTCAAATGACGAGTGAAAGAAGCGATCAAAATTTACCTGATATTGGAGAAACACCAGAGAAGTTAAAAGAGAATGATTTAAGGTGTAACAGTTTGACAGAAATTACTCAAGAGAGTAATAACAGTGAGTTTCCACCTTTGTCGTTGAGAAATAGTTATAGGAGTTCATTCAACGATATTACGAGTCTTGGAAACAGTTCAAAGAATGAACGAGTCGAATCAAGAGCTTCTCTAGACGATTTAACAACCAGTGAAAGAAGCTATAAAGACGACTCGCGACAAAGAAAAAATTCCGAACGATTAAGTGATGATAATTTTAGTGAAGATAATTGTATTCAAGATTTTCCATTTTTTTCACGATCATTATCAAATATTAATCGGGATGAGAGTAATTTTAGGTTACTGGATGGTCTAGCTTTACCAAATTTAGGTGAGCAAGAAGATTTAATTAGTACTCCAAATTTTCTAAATAAAGAGTTTAACTCTTTAACTGATCTTACCACCATTGATGTCACATTGGGAGCCACTAGACACTTGGATATGAATGCTAGCATTGGGGTTGACTATGAGGATACAAATTATAATAATTCAGAACAATTTAATGATGATACTGCTTTGGATGTAGAAATGTTATTAGAGACTAATTCTATTAAGAAAGAAACTAGTGTTTAAGCTATTGGAATCTTCCATTCAAAAATGTGCCAAGTGATTTGACATTTTGATCTCCTTGAAAAATATTCCTCTTCTTCATCTTTATTATTATGTCTCTTTTATATTTTTTATTAAAAATAACTATCGTAAATTGTATTTATCGTAAAAAAATGTGTGTTGTGTATATAATTCTATTATAATGATTATAATCCAAAATGCATTTTTCTTAAACTTTGGTATGAACAACATACGCTTTTATATCAGTGTTGATTAACAATTTATCAGTATTCGCTTTTCATCCTTCTTTTTACGATTTTTATAATACATTTTTGATATTAATTAAACGTATTACAAAGCTTTGTCAAGGAATCATATAACTAACTTGCCTGTACTTTGGAGATTTTTTTTGGGTTAAGACTGAAATTTTTCAAATATTTTATAAACACACAATATTGTAAATACTTTATACTTTAAAAATAAATAAATTTATGTTAATTGTAAACTGGATATTATATTAATTATTTATGATAAACTTTAATATTGAACGCGTTAGTTTTTAATTCGTGAAATGCATTAAAGTCAAGTAGAAAAAGATTAAATAGAAATAATTGAATATTTTTACCATCTGTTTTATAATTTATTCATCTTTTTTATTAATTATATCGAGAGTAAAATAATATTTAATATAAAATGTTTCATGATCGGTGATAATAAATTAAGGATAGAGTTTTTTTTCACTTTTTTAATGTGTTGAAAGACAAATGGGTTGTGATTAAAACTGATTTATAAAATGCAGTTTAACAGCTACTTTTGGAAACTATGAATATTTTCTAATTCCTGTTCATCTTTTTCTCTGAAAAAAAAAGTATTAATTAAATTTTAAATATTAATTTTTTTCGAATCTGATATAAATATATTTACTGTAATTATTTATTATATCCTACTTACTTTCAATCCAAGAATTAAAATCAGTATCCAAATTTACTGGTATCCATTCATCGTTCATCATTTGATCATCCATACCTCCATCACACGGACTTGAAGTATATATTGGTAAAGCTTGAAATAAAAAATTTTATGTTTTTACTGTAAACGATCAAAAATAAATTTGTGATTTAGTATGTACAAAAAAAAAGAAAAAAAGAAGAAAACCACTTACAATGTGCAAAAATTAAAAATGAACTTATTACAACGATGAAAATTAAAAACTTAAAATATTTCTGCTGCATATTTGCAAATTGTTCACAACTATGATCAATTTAAAATTACAATGTACTACTATGTCTATGCTTATTACCGAATCGTTGTAATTCAACTGAGGGAGAAATTGGGTACTATGAGGTTGATATACCTTGGTGATAATGAAAAAAATGATTTATTTAATAATGGATTTTGCTTATCTCTTACGAAATTAATGATAGCCATAATTTAATTTAGGTCTATAATTCGGCCGAATTCTTATGTTCATATTGAAAAAATATTTAATCTCATAACTTCTGTCATTAAATCATTCGGCTTCGTTAAAGTTAAATCCATTGGTATTTTTGGGAGGTCCTAAAAAAATTAATCTCATTGCATTGGATATGATTTTTTTTAATTACGGCAATGTAAAAAATTAGAAAATGACAAATCGTTGTGTAAATAACGATTTAATGTCGCCAAAAACAAAAAATAATTCTATTTAATAATATTTACCGGATTTATAAATATGAAATATTTTTTTATTTTTTTCGACTCTATACGACATTAGTAACAAAATAATTACATCGTAAGTTCCAATCTACGACATTTACTACCACTTCAATATGATCATATTAAAGTTAATTACTCGATAGAAATAATGTAATAAAAAGATTAAATATTTAATTCAGTTGAGATATATTATAAAGGTGTGTAGTGCGTCGTAATTTTTTTGATAGTGTAGTAAATGAAGTAACAAAAAAGTTTCTCTGCTTTGCAAAGAATTGAGATTAATTAATCGTTGAATAAACGTTATTATGCTACCAAGAAAAACTAATATATAATCCGAATTTTACGAGCTGTAGTTCTTCCTTTTTCGGCTATACGATTAAAAATTTAGAGAAGCGGTTTCTTCTCATTGATGATAGTTAAATTTTACTTCACCACAACTAAAGAAATAATCATATTTTAATGGATTTTTATTTTAAAATTTTTTCTGAAAGATTTATAAAATTTTGATAAAGGAAGCGATAAAAACAGTAAAAATTATTATCACAGTTGATCACAAAATTGACCTATGAATTACTATTGAACACTTAGGTAATTGAGTGAAATCGCAATTGTTCTTTACAATCATGTTAAGAAAATTATGCGAGTAAGTATCCTTCAGAGATAATATTTTTCATTTAAATGATTATAAATAATAAATAAAAGCACATAAAATATTAGATTATTTTTTTCCATTCTTTCAAATTTTAAGTATTAAAAATTTTCTAACGATTTTAAAAAAACTTATTAAAATTTAATACTCTTTTAATTCCTACCATCTAAAATATACTGAGTTGAGTTGATATAATAATTAAGATCAATAATAATACCATATTTAAAACATAGTTTTACAATGTTGAATTTTGTCAAATTACAAATTCTTGTGTACAATTTAATTTACTTCTGCAAGATATTTTTTAAATCTAAAGCCGAGTACTATCTATTGTGTCGTCACAATTTTTATGATTATCATCTGTAATCCCATTCATTTCTTTATCTATATTGCTAAAAGATTGAGTACAAATATTTTTTTGATGATGATATAAAGCTGCTTCTCTATATAATTTTTCTGACATCGCCACGCCTGTTTGTTCAATCATTTGTTTAAATAAGCTTTCTTGTTTATTAAATATCAACTCATATGGGCTATCAAATTCCTAAACAAAACAAAAAAATAAGCATAGTTATAATTTCTTATTTTAACTTAAAAAGATTAGAGTATCCAATTATTATTTACCATTACTCTTCCAGTATCTAACACTAAAACTCTATCACTATCAATGATAGTATTTAGCCGATGTGCTATCGTAATAACTGTGCAGCCAGTAAATTTTGATCGAATTGCTCGTTGTATTAAAGAATCAGTTCTAAAAAATTTATTATAAAATTTTTTTAATTTATTAATTCAATATTCATAGAATATTCTAAGAAATATGAAAATTTTAACTACTAACCGAGTATCAATGTTAGCCGTAGCTTCATCTAAGACAAGAATCTTGTTATCTCTCAGTAAAGCTCTTGCAAGGCAAATTAGTTGTCTTTGCCCCACACTGAAATTTGTTCCACCTTCAGTAACTTTTTGATCTAAAATTAAATCACTCAACTCTACTTCTCTCAAAGCATCCCAAATTACAGTGTCTGAATATTTTCCAAATGGATCGAGATTATATCGTAAAGTTTCAGAGAATAAAACCGGTTCTTGAGGAATTATAGAAATACTTGATCTCAAATCACAAAGAGCTATTTTTTTTGTATCAACATCATCAATTAATATTTGTCCAAGTAATCCATCATCAACAAGCCGAAATAGAGCTGATATTAAAGAAGATTTTCCGGCTCCTGTTCTGCCTGCTACACCAATTTTCCAACCAGGTTCTATTGTTATATTTATATCCTAATTTAATATAATAAAAATGATTAACATTCATTCAATGTGTTTTTTTATAATAATATTTATACCTTTAAAACGGGAAGATCATCTTTTTTATAATGCAGAAATACATTTTTAAATTCAATTCGGCCTTTTGAAGGCCAATTTTTAGGAGTAGATTGAGGATCTCCAGGTTCTTCTTTTGGTAAATCAGTATATTGTATAATTCTTTCAACAGAAGTCATTTGCGACTGTACTTCTGTACTCTGTCTTACTCCATATTGAACCATTCCTGTTAAAATCAATGATTGTGAAATTGCTAGACCTACAGAAGCTCCAAAAACATTATCTAAAAAATTAAAAATATTTTTAATAAAAAATTTTAAAACATGATATGAATAAATTTAGATCTAACATAAATTAATTCATACCGGATCCAATTAAAATGAAAGAGTAACAAACACAGCTAATAAAAGCACATGCAATTAAATCGAGAATAAACCCGAATGCTGCACCAGTAGCAATAAACAAATACCAAGCTCCGGTATGATTATCTTGAAAATCATCAAATTGTTTTTTTAGCATTACTTCTATATCAGACCCACTGCTTCGGATCGTTGTTAAACCATTTAAAGTAGTTGCAACATGTGTAAAAACAGGACTTTTTGCTAAAAAGTATAACAAAAATAAATATTTAAATAATCACTTATACTAACTGTAGCAATATAATTTTTCGATCAATTTATCTAACGATTATTTACCAATTCCTTCAAGTCTTTTGATATCTTGAGCAGTATAAAGATAATAATGAAGACACACATAAAAAAGACAACCGATAATAAGAATTGGAATTATCATCCATACATTGACTATAATAATTAATAATAGAATCCCAACCATTATAGAAAGAATTTGAGCTGCCTCCAACATTGTCCTTGGAAGCAACTCATCCATAGCTCCAACATCTTTAGAAAATCTATTTAAAATTCTACCTGTAAATTAAGAGGAAAAAATTTTTTTTGTTATTTAAATAAAACACTATTTATTAATTCGAAAAATCTAAGTAAACTGACCTGATGGATTGACATTGAAAAAATACATCGTAGCTTGGATGATATTATAAAACATATGATCATGAAGTCTTTGACTTGCATTCATGCAAATCTTCATTAAAAAAAGGCTTCTCCAAATAACAAATACAATACAAGTAATAATACATACTGTATAAATATATATTGCATTCTCTGTTCGTAAATATCCATTTTCATCGAGTAAAGAGAGTGATGTAAATAATGGAGTGTTAACCATCGTTTCATATTGACTCTTTGTAAATTTGCAAGTCTCTAATGAGTTATTAAGACACACTTTGATCGATTCCAAGCTTGTCCAATAACTAAGCCAATAATCAGCTCCACTGGTTGCAGCTTGTGACATAAGATAAATTATACCAAAACAAATAAGACTAAAAATGCTGCCTCCTGCACGGAAATAACGATAATAAACTTGAATTGATAGTCTTCCTGTTTCCTTTGATTCAGATTCTAATGTTTCGTGACTTACTGCTACAGTTTCATCGTACGATGTCTAAATCATATATTAAAAAAAATTATAATAAAACTATCTTAATTAACTAAACAGTAATTGAAAAATGATGTCTTACAAATTGATAACTGTTAAGAGATTTCACAGAACTCCTTGATATTCCAGTTGAACTTCTTCTCCGAAAAAAATTCTTCTCCGGGGACATTTCTTTCTCAACAGTATCACGTTGTGGTAAATTTTCAATATTGTTAGTATCAGTGGGTTTTTCATCTTCTTTCAAACGATTTAATAAGTCATTAAAATTGGTGCTGGTTCTTGTTAAATTATCGTATGATCCTTGAGCTTTAATGGTTCCCTACGGGAAGAGTTTACAACATTAATAAAGCTTAAAAATTTGATTAGGAAAAATAAATATATATTTTTGATAAACATGAAAACATTTTACCCGATCAATGACAATAATTACGTCAGCTTCCTTCAAATGATGAATCTGATGTGTAGCAAGAATTCTTGTTTTTCCTTTTAGATATTCGGATATACAATCTTTGAAAAGCCGTCTACTCACTCGAGTGTCAACAGCACTCAAAGGATCATCGAGAAGATAAATGTCGGCATCTCTGTATACTGCTCTTGCTAGATTAATTCTCGCTCTCTGCCCGCCCGAAAGAGATGCTCCTCGTTCTCCAACAATTGTCATATCTCCATTGGGAAATTGTTTAAAATCATGTAGAAGAGAACAAACTTTTGTTACCTGCCAAACAGAATAATTCATAAAGATCATAAATTCTTTTATTTTTCCTTCTTCTGGATCACATCTATCTGTATTTTATTTTGAAAGAATGTTCTTAACCCGAGCTTGTCTGATATTTATTTTCAGAAAAAGAAAATTAATCATAGATAATAAAATTCAAGGTCATCATTGTATTACTAATTTCTGTTTATCGAAAAATTTAGACAAATAGAAAGTATCCAGTTTGAATCCCATCGAAGAGTCAATAGACTAGAATCTCGATGTATTAAAATATTATTCATGAGATTTCATAACAAAATTCAGTTCCTAAAATGATGTCAGCAATAGTTATCTTAAATATACGGATCTATTTTTCATATAGATTACACTATTTCTTTCAACAGTTGATAAAACAATTTAATAAATTTATCCACCATAGAAATTATTTAATAAATTAATAAAATCATTATTATAATCAAATATAATAAATAAAATTTTTTTACCTCTTGATAACGTGCACTATCGTAAGTTTGACCAAAAAGGATATTTTCTTTAACAGTTCCTGTAAAAAGCCAAGGATCTTGGCTTGCATAAGATATTTTAATTCCTGAATCATCTGTAAAAAATCCTCGTTTCGACTGTAAATCAAAATTTTTTTCGGTATTTTGATATAGTCTAACAGCGCCAGCACCGACTGGAAGTTCTTGAAGAAGAAGATTCAATATCGATGATTTACCTGCACCAACAGGACCAACGAGACTATATAATTCACCTCCTTTAATTTTTAATGATATTTCATTTAATGTTGGTGGTAATTGACCTAAAATCCAATTAGCTGATACTCTGTGTAATTCAATATGTACAGGATTTGACTTTTTATTTGTTACATAATCAACGTTCGGATTTGATAAATTGGTTTCAACTGATTCAACAGTTGTTTTTGATTCTATAGATGTTTTGTCTATTTCATCAAGTGACAAAAAATCCTGAGACATGAATATATTCAATATTATTAAATAGATAATTCTAACTAGTTGACAAATTAATTAAAGAATCATAAAATTATTACCTCAATTCTTCTGATAGACACCAAAGCTTCTCCAAATATCATAATAGCTAATGGAAGACAAATTGCCATAACTAATTGTAAAAGATTGAAGTAACTGAAAAGTTGGAAAACCACACCGGCACTTATAGGATTTCCCGCAGCAGTAAAAGAAACTATTGTTAAAAATAGCGTCGAACGTTCTGTTATGACAAATAAAGACGTATAAAATCCTCTTATATTTGATGACAAAAGAATTTTCTTTATTTCTTCTCTTCTAGTTTGAGAAACTATCTTGTTAAATGGTATCTCCCATGCATACATTTTAACGACTTGAATTCCTGCGATTAATTCACTCATTAACTGAATTCTTCGATCAGTTAACTTGGCTATTAATTCTCGTAAATATCCGCTTATTTTAGAGAGATAACTTTGTAGTGGAATCGTCATTATCATAAGACTACCAAGTGCAACAAGTGTATAAACTCCGATACTTTGCCACATAATGATACCAACGACAACAATCTAGAAAAATAAATCTAAATCAATGGCTTTTGTTTAAATTATTTTCTCTTTTTTGATAGTTACTATTTTTATGTCATTACTTGGATTGGAGTGAGCCATGAGAAGTTGATATAAAGTGGAAGAAAATCAAATCGATTAACATCGTTGCTTAAAAGGTTCACCACTTGGCCTGCAGCTGTTTTATCAAGAGATGCTTTGCTTAATTTCAAACTCTTTAAAAAATAATAATAAGGGTTAATATCAAGAAATAAATGAGAAAGTTTTTCGTTGTATTATATAATATACATACCTTACGATAAATTAAAGAACAACAGGCAATTCTAATCTTCATTCCATTTCTTTGCGACTCTAAACCAGCATGATGCATTATAAAAGTAGCCACAAAAGTTATTACAACTAATCCGGTGGTATGAATTAAGACTTCATTCTGTGCTGTTGAACTTTTATCACCCATATCAAAATAATTGATGATGAAATTTAAGAGAATAGGTTTGACGTTTCGTAAAACGACTATTTCAAACATTATTATCAAAGCTATCATAAAGTTACGGAACCAAAATACTTTTAGGATAGCTCTAGCTAAGCTGGGTTTTATTGAAGTTGCATCTTTGCTATCTGTCAAGGATGATTTTCTTTCTTCACACAATTTTATTTGTTGATCCCATGCCCTATAATAAATGATAAATCTTGTAATAATTTATAAAAATAATCCAACATTCATTATTAGATAGATTTTAATCAAAGGTATTTCATTAACCCGTTACAGCATAACGTCCGATAAATCTGATGCTAGAAAATTCTATATATTGTAAATAATTAATTAAATTATTTGGCAGGTATATCAGACGGTCCATAAAATTATATTTATTTATATATATGCTGAAATTTTACTGATTAGGCTTTTCATACCAACCCTAGTAAACTCTTTTAGTCAATTAAAATCATAATAAATGCTATAATAAACTTTATGCTGTCATGGGTTAATATGTGTAATATATCAAATGTTCATACCAACGTAAATATTTTATTCATATTTATTTGTATTATCTTATTATATGAAAGAGTAAAAAATGTGTGTCAATACCACTATCTGACATTAAGAATAGCTGATAATAATCAAAAATAAATAACTGAGAATTATTCTTTTGATGTTTCAAGAAACTTTGCTAATATTTGCATGATCAATTAATTATTGAATAAATTAATCATGATTGATTGTCAATTATTTATATATAACTTAATTAATATTCAAATGAATTTTAATGAAATTACTTCTCTAATTCGTCTGCTAGTTTCTCTGACTCATCAGCTTTAAGAGGGTGCCAGATGTCTTCCATGGTGAGTCCATGTTTGGCACCTTTTCTGAATAATTTGATCGTCCACCTAATTAATGTATAAAAATAAAGTTAATTAATAAGACGGCAAAAAATCTCAGCATATAACTTATTTAATGATAGAAAAAAATTACAAACCAAAAAAATAATCGGTTGAAGAGATTGGCATTTTCTATTGGACTTATTTTCTTCTTGGTGACTTTTTCCTTCATCTTCTTGAGTTATATCACTTTAAAAAAAATAAAAAATATTCCAATAACACTTTTCAAATTTCATTGATACAATATTTGACAAATTTATCCAATTAACTGAAAGCTAATTATAAGAATAGTTATTTTGTTTGAACTGATACAGTTAGTCAAATTTTATATTCTAACATAAATGCGTTCAAGGTAATACTTTATATCGTTGAAGATATGCTATTATGTCAAAGTTATTTAAATCTTATCTTCTCGTTTCGCAAAATTTGATATCTATAGAATAGTTTTATAATTTTTCGTTGTCTTATATTATAAATACCCTAATAATAGTCCACAAATTATGTCTTATGTCTACTTAGTGGTTGGTGGTTCTTCCAGATGTATTGAAGACTTCAATGAATATCATTGTTACTTTTAACTTGAATAGAGACACGAAAAATTTATACTTAGATTTTCTTGTAATTAAAATACTAAATGACTGAAATCAAAAAGTTTTATCATAGAACAATAAATCTTACGATAACATCAACATAACACCATGTATTAAAAGAGATATTCTTAATATGATAATAATTTCATAAAAAAATTCAATTCTATATAATGAACTGAATACTTATTTTAAAATCGACTTTTCCTGTTTTAAATTTATTTCAAATCTATTGTTAAATAAAAGAACATAATTGGTCCAATAAAACGATAATATTTATTGCATAACAACATGCAAGAGTATTTAAAAAAGATATGATCAGTGTCAATAAAAAGAATTGGTTTTAATTTCAATTGAAATTTAACATTCTATTAGATTGTGGTAAATAGTCAGATGAAAAAAAAATCTATAGTAATTACATAGCTCTAACAATCAATATTATCTATATGACAAAGCATAAATATAATGATTTTTTATGTAATTTCTCTTCATTAATATCTTCAAAAAAATATTTTTCATTTTCCGATAAGAAAAGTATTCTCCAAGTCATTAATGACAACGTTAATTGTTACTATATTATTTAATCATTTATACAGTTCAATTAACTTTACTTGGAATTTAATTTCTTTATTTTTTCTTATTTTCTTATTCAATGGAGATACCCATACGTGAATACATATACAATATGGATGTATACAAAAGTAAGTGTTACTTATAGCGCAAGTTAATTGGCCACAGTTGATTATCATTAAACTTTTCAATTGTTACAATTCTCTATAAATTCTTGTCTAGATTGTTTAGAAACTACATATGAAAATGTATATTTGATAAGAAACTTATATTACTTACAAAAATTCCTTTTCTCTTGATATCAACAGGATAAGCACTTTTGTGTAAAATGCTATATCATGTATTATGTTACAAAATATGACTTTAATAACTAATGGAGAATTACCTTAAAGTAATTAAAAATTTATTTAAAAATAAAAACAATTGACAAATTGTTTATCTGTCAATTATTTGAAAATAAACTAATTCTAATTAAGAACCAAAGTTGAAGCGTACGTCTGACTCCGATTGCCGCCAAATGACGTGTGTTGGGTGTTTTTACTACGATTTACTACTATCTCCACGACAGCGCCATAGCTATTTTGATCAAAAATCTTTGAATTAAAAATTATCTTCTAATCCACTGTTTTCAAAATTATCTTATAAAATATTTAAATTTATTAAATAGTCGAATTCATTCACTCTTTGATTATTCATAATAAATTAACGTCTTTCTCATTTTTAAAAAAATGTAACTAACTCTGTTGTACTTTATAAATAATTGTGATGTTATGTGATAAGTTGATTTCCATATTTACTGTAATCTAATATACATGAAAAAGCTGTTCATGAACTTGCACATTTATGAGCAACGTGGATTTTTTCAAATAAACCGCGATCGCGCTTGCGATAATGTAGATTGCTACTTATTTTCTATCTTTCTTTAATTATAAATGCTTCTTTAACTGGGCAAAGTACAAAATCAGCAGCATACTTACGTTAAAGTTAAAAGACAGCTTCTTCAATCTGTTTATACACCTTGATTAGATATTGTTGACTTCCATGTGATTTTCAATTCTTGTTAAATGTATAAATAAAATTATCAGTGAAAATATTGTTTGATGCATTATTGTTATTTATAATTTCTTTCAAAAAAAAAAACTTTACAATAAAACACCTATAATTTTCGGAGTAAAATTGTTGATTTATCATAAATATATGTAATTATTTGTTGAATATATTATCTACAATGAATTGTATTAAATAGAAAGTATAGTTGTATTAATGGCAAAGTAAAACTAGTTCAGTGTTAACCAGTCAATGTGATCAGCTGTCATGATACTAATTTGATATCAACAACAAACTTATAAATTATTTTTCGTTGTTCTTTTATACAGCAACAAACACTGAATTTATTTCATTATTTTTATTTAAAATTTCACTGACGACTCTAAATATGAATTTTTTATGTGAAAATGTCAAATTTTTACCAAAAAGAAAGGTATTTCCTCCATTTGTATTTTACATAATTTAATTTATAACTTACTCAATATCTATTATTTTTATATAACTTACATTATTTTCTTCTTTCAAAGCTAACAAGAAATGTTAAAATATTGGAGCCTATATTTTTTTATACTATTCCTCATCGTCAGAGGTAAAACAACAAACAAATAAGATATTACTAAATAAACAAATTGTTTATTATTGATGATGAATTTTTTTGTAGAGCATCTATGAATGATGTCATTGATAAGGATGAATATGAATATATACAACGTAGCAAAGTGCCAACTATGCATTTTCAGAAATCACTGCCAAGATTACCAATACCTAAATTAGAGGAATCTTGTAAAAGATACTTAAGAGCTTTGCAGCCAATTCTAACAGAATCAGAATGGCAACAATCATCAGCTAATGTAGCTGAATTTTTAAAAAAAGATGGCCCCTATTTGCATCAGAAAATTATAGAAAAAGACACACGTAATAAACATACAAGTTACATTTGCGAACCTTGGTTTGATATGTACTTGAGAGATCGAAAGCCTTTGCCAATTAATTACAATCCAACATTAGTTTTTGTTCAGGAATCTAATGAACAATATAATAAGCCTTTAATTAAAGGCACCAACTTGCTTATTTCATCTGCAAGGTTTATCAAATCTTTGAGAAAGGGAATTCTCGCGCCAGAAGTTTTTCATATAGATCCAAAGAAATCAGATACACCTTTTTTTTGGAAATTTACTGGATTATTACCATCAGCAATCGCTACCTATGGAGCTTATCTATTTAATGTAATTTATTATTTAAAACATAATATTATGATTGCATACTTGAATATTGTTGATCTTCAATTAAATTTTCATTTTTCCCAGGCATTTCCGTTGGATATGTCCCAGTATTTGAGTCTCTTCGGCACAACAAGAGTTCCAGCGTTGGGTAAAGACATTATAACTCATGAAAAATCATCCCGACATATTGTAGTAATGCGGAAAGGTCATTTCTACTCGATGGATTTATTGAATACTGATGGCCAGATTCGGAGACCCATAGAAATCGCGTCTTGCCTAAACACAATAATGAAAGATACTAGAGAACCTAATCAATGTCCTTTAGGTGTATTAACAACAGCTGATCGAGATGATTGGAGCAAAATCCGTCAACATTTAGTGGCAATAGGAAACGAAAATATACTGAAAAAAATTGATTCTGCTTTATTTGTTTTTATATTAGATGATGAAGATAAGGTAGAAACAGATTATAATAAATTGATTAGATTATTCTTACATGGAGATGGAACTAACAGATGGTTTGATAAATCTTTTTCGTTGATAATGGCAAATGATGGAACAGCTGGAATTAACTTCGAGCACTCCTGGGGAGATGGTGTGGCTGTATTAAGATATTTCAAGGTAATTAAAAGACTCCTAACTTTTAGATCTTAATAATGATATACAAAGTGTTATGTATGTTATAATGCTACGAGAATCTAAAGCTTTTACCTATCTTTTTATAATAGTTCACTGGGTTAAACAAACAGGTCAGAGAATTATTTTTCAATCTAAAATTTTTTAGTAATGTTCAGCGTCATCATGTATTATGCTTTGCACACAATTTCTCTCTAACTTTTCGTATTCATTTTTCAGGATCTGAAACACGATATTACAGATAAACCAAAGTTTCATCCGGAAAATGAATCGGACGTATCAAATAACCCTTCTTCAGTTGAACGACTTGAATTCACTGTTGATGATGAGATAAAGGAAGCAGTAAATAAAATTTTCACTGATTACAAAACATGGACATTAGAAAGATTAACAGTAGATTATCTGATATGTGATGAATTTGGTAAAGAAGAATGTAAAAAATTTGGTGTTAGTCCTGACGCTGTAATGCAATTGGCATTTCAATTAGCATTATTTAAAAAAGAAGCACGATCAGTTGCTACTTATGAATCGTGTAGTACAGCAGCGTTTAAACATGGTCGTACAGAAACTGTCAGATCGTGTACGAATGAAACAAAAGCATTATGTTCTGCAATTCTAGCTAGAGGAGGTGCAAAAGTTAATGATGATAAGCTGAAGAAATTGATCCTTGAATGTAGTAAAGCTCATTTAACTTTAATTAAGGAAGCTGCAATGGGTAAAATATTTATTAAAAATTTTAATGAGATCAAATCAAACCATGAAATATGAATACATTATAGAGAATACCTATTTTAGGCCAAGGCTTCGATAGACATTTATTTGCTTTAAAAAATCTGTGGGAAACGTCTGAAAAACGAGATAAAATGCCAGCAATATTTCAGGATCCTGCGTATGCAAAAATAAATCATAATATTCTGTCCACTTCTACCTTATCAAGTCCTGAAGTAATGGCTGGTGGATTCGGACCAGTTGTAGATGATGGATATGGAATTGCGTAAATATTGTTTTAAAATATTTTTCTACTGCAATTATAAAAAATAACCGAAAAATAATATACATTATAACATTTATTACTTATCTTTTTTTACAGATATATGATTCAAGATCATAAATTAGGCTCAGTAGTAACAAGCTATCGACAACATCGAGATGCAACAGAATACGTTTCATTCCTGAAATCAGCATTTGAAGATATTCGCAGAATTTTAAAAAGTAAATGAATCTTTTTACTTTGAAATATCAGTGCTTCCTACCAATACATATCGCTTAATATACATCAACTATATTTTTTATACCTATTATGGTTTTGATACAATATAGTTTTATCAATAATTATATTTATTGCTGCTATCACTGATCATTGTCAACAGTAATAGAAATAATTAAGAGTAGTATTATTTCACATGACTCTTAATAATGAAATTATTGATAAATCATGATGAATTATTTTATTCTTAAATTAGGAATAAAATAATAGCTAAAGGAATGGGCTATTGTGCAAGTATTTTTCATAATTATGAATTATTGAGTACCAATAATTGGCAACTTAAAATGAAACAGATAATATTTACACTTTCTTATAAATATTTACATATATACTTTGCTTATTTATTGAATGTTTTACGTATATATCTATTTTAACATACTTATAATTTGTCTTTGGGAATTTTAATGCCTGTTTAATATGAATAATAAAATCTATTTTTTTTTGTCCGAGTGATAAAAAAAAGTGTAGAGTTGTATAATGAATTTTTTTAATAAAAATATTAACAATTGTTACTGTAAATATTATTAAAACGATAAAAATTCAATTTCATACTCATAATAAAGAATAACATCACATATTAAATGACAACAAAATAAAATGGATAAAAAATTTCACCAGAAAGTTCATGATTATCGTATGATTCATAAATATATTTCCGCATACTTACATTCCACAGAAAGGAACTACCAAAACTTCAATAAACTCTTATTACATTGGTGATAATGACAGAAAATGGATACTCATTTTTTCTTCTCATTGAGAATAATAAGTAGAATAATTAAACTTTATTTTACGATTACAGCTAAAAGTTTAACCATTTCCAACGCCTACCTCAGACATACTTATCACCCATTTTCACGACAGAAGTCTGTAAAAAATACAATCAATGCTTATTTTATGAATCTTAAACACTTGCATAAATTAAATAAAAATGAATGTTAACGTTATCTCACCATATAAATCCCAACAATCAATCCAAAGAGACCGATGGCAGATCCAAAGATTTCAACAATCAAAACTTTAACGAATAAGGCAGAATTAGCAGCATCAGCCAGAGCTGCACCAGAGCCTACAATTCCGACAGCAATACCGCAGAATAAATTGACTAAACCAACAGCTAGACCAGCTCCAAAAATAGTATATCCCGCCATCCAATTAGTGACTTTAAGATTGATATTCTCCATAGAAATAGACCACGTGAATTGAGATGTATGACCAGAGAGAACAATAGCAGTGATTAATCCATAAATGGCTACTGCTTCACAGAAAATAATTGATATCAAATTTTTAGTTTTAATTCTTGGAGCTTTGACACCTCCACCAACAATGGACGTTCCAGTTGTATGGATGCCTCTAAAAAACGAAAATGTATTTTATCATAGATAAATTCTATCAGAAAAATTATTAAACAAAGCGTTTCATAGTACGATACATACAAAGCTGCACCCACTACTGACAGAGCAACTGAAAGACCAATGCCTAAAGTTGCCCACATGTACGGAGATGTATTTTCCAAGAACCAAGCAAAGCTCACTCTTTCACCTTTTCCAGTGAAAACATGATATAAAACTGAAAAAATAATCATTCAAATTAACCAAAATTTATTTATTGCATTAAACAATATTTATTCACTATTACTGATGACTAATAATTACCTAGTGCAGTAATAGTTGCTGTGGTTGTTCCTGCAAATGTGTATCCTAAGATATATCGCATTTTAGTCGCCATGTTATTAAATGATTAGGTTCTGAAAAACAATTCAATTAATTGTTAAAAAGAAATTTAAAAAATTTTTTAAATATTTTATGATTGAGTAATATGATATTTTGGTTGAAAACACAAATGGTTGGAAAAATATTGATTGAAATTTTTCTATTTAACATAGGAAGGCTGATAAAATATACACAATTAAAAAATGTTGAGAGTATTTAGAATATGAGTAATAAAAAATATTGAGCAAATTAAAATTTAGAGTATTTTTAATCACTATAATTACTTATATTATGTATTTACTCCGAAAAAATTGAAAAATAAGACTAAAATTTTATAAGCACTTGTAAAAGAAAATAATAACTTTTGAAGATATTAGGATAATTACCTTATATTTCCCTAAAGTACTATGTTAATAAATTGAATTTTTATTTACTGAATACCTTAAACATAAATATTTCAATGAATAAATATAAATTTATTGAATAACTCAAGATATCTAATGGATCACACCCGTAAACTGTCATGTGACAAAGTATGGATACCTAGAAGAGGAACCATCAGCTGCAAAAAGTTCATTGCCATACGCCCCCTGCAGTCAGTTTCTGAAATTCTTTCTGAGTACCCACAGTTTTTATTGGTAAATAAATGCCACCATTTTAATTAATTAATTTGTTTAAATTTATTAAAAAATTATTTTAATCAAGAAGATTCTTGCATGTAAAAATTACGTATTTAATTATCTACAAATTAGTACTTGTAATGTATTCTGAAAATGATTTTAATGCTTTCTGCATCTCTTCATAACCAGCACGTTGACAGGCATCGTCAATAGTTAACCAGGCGAAATCTTGATGTTCATGTGACATTTTGACTTCACGATCTTTAATTAATTCAGCTAACCAATAAATAACAGTTTTCGGTTTTCCTTTGACATTATAAACTAATTCTTGTTTAGCATCATGAAAAATTTTCAAATCTTCATTATCTAATCCTGCTTCCTCTTTAGTTTCTCGTAAAGCGGTTTCCATATCAGATTCACCTTCGTCTACATGTCCTTTTTTTAAAAAATACAATTATGTATTCGATTTTATTATGTAAATAACACGACTTTTATTTTCTTACCTTTTGGCGGAGTCCAGTGATGTTCACCATAAGATGTTTGCATTAATAAATATTCTATTGGACCTTTAAATCGACGAAATATTACGAAACCACATGCTCTTGTACCCATCTTTGCTATCTAAATAGATAAAGAAAAATCTATTGATTCCCCTAATCCTCTTAATATATTTATTAAGAAATACAATAGTTTAATTTTGTTTGCCTCAAGCACAAGGAAAATTAATAATAATATTTCACTTGATCTGACTAATGATCTCTGTGTCTATTTAGATCAAATTTATGTAATAATTTAACAATTTAAAAATATATTTCTTACCTGTAGACTTCGGTTAAGATGCTTAATACTAAGTTAAATACTTCTTTCTCCAAAACAACTTGAATGATGAAAATTTATTTTTTAATAAATGCATTTTTGTCATGGTTTAATAGATAAAATGATTTAAAAATGAAATTTTACAAATAACTTGGTATACTTAAGTAAAATAGAAGTCACTGAAATGTCAAATTCATTCAACATTAAAGAAAATCTTTCAATTGTTTAAAAATATAGAATTCATTAAAAATTATAAAATAAAAATATTCTATAACTAATTTTAAATTTTCATTTGAAATAAAAAAAAGTAAAAAATGATAAATTATTTTTTACATTAATTTTTTAATAAAGCATGTGTCCGTAGCTATGAATTCGTGTATGTATAGATTACAGATACAATAATTTAACGATTGTTGAAATATTCCTACAAAGAATTTTTATAATTATTTTATATTATCTAGTAATAATTATATCATTATCAATTAATAATCACTATGATTAATTTTATTTATATAATATGTATATTGCAATTATTCTCGTTCACTATACTACTTCATTGATATTCACATTTTTAATGATTGGAACATCCTATATTTTTATTATTATATTGTACTTAAGTTTATGTCAATAGCAAATTAGCAGAAAAATTATTTTTACATCGAGTTTTATGGTTGATTTAATATGATTGTATTTTATGAATTATGATAACAATGAATTTCATCAATAATAAAGGCGTTCTAATAATAAAACTCGGAAAGAAACAATTTAAGAGCGCACTGAGATCACAGACAGCTCCACAAATAATTTTTCCTATTTTTGAAAGATTTTATAATTCTCTACGATTCATAAAATTTTTGTTTTTATTTGATAGTTTAAAACGCCTAATTAATGCATTATTTTTTATTCTTTTCGGCATTTCTTACAATTTTCTATCATTAATGTTGCTTCTTATATTACCATTTATTATTCTATTATTTTACATGACATATATGTATATTAACTGAGACTTAAAACGCTTAAACGATTAAGAATTAACTGGAAATGATGTGAGACTGTACATATTCTTTTACATAAAATAGACAATAAGTCCCGTTGTCACCGCCATATATTTCTTCATACTGTATGTAATTTTTCAATTTATTCATCTATCCTTATTTTAAATTTTCAGATTCTTCATTATTCTTTCAATTGATTGAGTTCTTCTATGAAATTACATCAATGTGATTGAGTTTTTTTTTTTTGTAAATTAAAAGGTTTTTCTATTTTTTTTTCACCATCGACACTTAGTTTCTATCAGTCATTTCTTGATTTATAGAGTTGGCTTAATTTTTATTGGTGCGTATGATATTTTCAATTAGATTAAACGTTATTCAAACCAACTAAACTAGAAATAAAACTTTAAAGAACAAATTTGTATTTAGTTGGTAAAAATATATGTCATTTAAAAATAAAAAATGAAACTTTTATCGGCATTGTTAGTTTAAATTATCCAAACACTGAAAATATTAAAAAATTCATGTTTCCAGTTGAATCATTTTTACTTTCTAGTTTGTCATATCCTTAAATGATTTTTATGACATTGATAATTTTTAGGCGGATGAAAAATGTACACTAAAATGCAACTCTTTTTTTTTTGTATACTTGAAAATATATCATAGTTTATAATAATAAAAATAATTATGATTAACGTTTTATCAAGTAACTTAGTACCTTTAATAAAATTTAAATAATTCTATTTACATCGCGTGATTTTTTTTTGTTGCAAGCTTCCAAAGTTTTTGATCAATATAATTTATTTTACTTTGTTCAATTTCTTCGCATTAACTATTAATCTTGTTAGTTAAGTTTATAAAACCGTAGACATATCATAAAAAACAATAAGCATTAATATAAGTAATTTTTATTATGACTATTGATAAAACAAGAATGATTCTTAACTATTCAGACATTGGTATGTCATAATATTTCTTTTAAACTTAATAAATTTTATGAAATATATTTAAGAAATATTTTTTATCAAATATCTTAATATAAACTTATCCTTACGAGTATAATTAAAATAATTGGTATAAAATTGATTTTATTTTATCCACAGAAGTTTCCGTTATTCACTCTTCTAACTACTTGTACGTTTCATTCTTTACTAAATTTTTTTAACTTTTTACGAATTCACTAAATTATTATCATTCACCAAATATAATTTGTCATCTTAAAGTTTTTTACTCCAAATAGTTATGGTCGGTTTCTATACCTCAATAGCTAAGAATCACTCATAAATTGTTTATTAACATATCATTGATTTAATAAAGCTTCAATCTTTCATTAATTTTTTTCATTCGTTTTCTAATAGAAAAAGCAGATTTTTATTAGTTACAAACGCAAAATTAATTAACTAATTGATCTAATAGTTAAACTGAATCAGGCCAAAAAAATTTTTATTTAACATAAAAATTTATCCATATCACAAATTATTTCAAATTATTTTTTGTACATTTTACTTCTGTAATTTTTTTTATTTTACTATATTTAAGGTGCATTTCGAATTAATCTATTTGAAATAATAATCAATATAATTAAATTAAAAAATTACCTATTTATTCAATTCATTGATCGCTTAGGGTATTGATTATTAACAAATGAATATATATATATTTTGAGTGCAAAAAAAAAATTTTAATAGTTCTTTTCTGTTTTCAACAATAAAGATTATTTTTTGTCACTTGCTAAATTATTTGCAAATCTTATTGTAGAATCTAAAAAAAATGGGAACAAGAATAAAGTACGGTAGTTTTTTTATATTTGCGTTAAAACAATCATCAAAAATAAAAATATTAGCGCTTTTTGAATTCAATAAATCCCTTTGTCCTCCTTTTAGGATGTAAAAGCTAAAATTTTGTCAAATATATAATTAAACAAAAAATATTATTATTCAAAAAAATGTGATTCAGTTTAATTAAGCATTTTTATATTCACTTAAGCTACGCAATAATTATGGCTAAAAATGGTGTATTAAAACATACTCGTTCATAAGTTCTTTAAAAGAACAATAAATTCAATTGATTTTAGATTTACGATAATTTGATAAAAATAATTATGCTATATATGAAATTGAGCGTAGACAATAACACCTCATTAACATTAATTAATCATGAAAAACAATATTATTAATACATTGATTAATTCCATAATACTGTCTATTTCGTCTCCGTTAAGTGTCAATACTTTATTCAAAAAGTAAACGATACATAAACACCATTTGAAGCCATAATATTTAGTAATTATATTCATGTGTTTATCCACAACATGACTTTTTCATTTTTACAAATATTAGCGTATTTTTTTCACATAAAAACAATAAAAAATTTTACTATTGTCCCTAACTTGTTAACACAATGATTTCGACTACCATATTGACAGAATCCATAACAATTTTTTTCACAAATAGTTTGCATTTTATGTATATTATTAATCATGATAAACAGGTACAATAATAATTATTATCTGATGTCCTGTAAGTTACACACATGACTTTTTGAAGGATAGAAATCCACTACTTTGAAGTGATGATAATAAATTCATCGATTTATGATATCATTTGTTATTCTAATTCGTAAGTATTTGAGTATTTTAATTAAAAAGTAAATCAGTTTATTGACAAATTGTCTTTAACGTACCGTTAAAAAAAATTTCAAAATTCAATTAATAAATCACCACTATCATAAGAAGAACATATAGAAATTACTATTTTACACATTTCATTATTTTTTTGAATATATATATATATATATATATATATATATGCATTTATATATATATATAGATATTGTGTTCTGTTGAAAATTTCAGTTTCTGCCAAAGTAGATATTTCTAAGTTTTCACACGAATTTATTAATTGTGATATAAAAATACATACTTGGCGGTGAACTTGAATATTTATTAATTTTTCGTGGAGTTTTGATGTCTTTCGTTTAGTCCACGAAATAGGAGATACCGGGCCTTATTTTTGGCACACGGGAAGAATTAAAAAGGCAATTAGCGGACATTTCAAGAATTTTTTTTTGGGAAAAATTCGAATTATTTCAAGATTTACAGTTCTAAATGTAATCTTCTTGCAGAGTATGATAATTGAATGAATTTGAATTGTTAAACAAATACTTCTTCCATGTCTGAATCAGAGTTTGTGTCCCAGACAAGGTAAAATGACGAATTATCCTCACAATTGATCGCTGAGTGATCCAACTCATTGAGGGGTTATGGATTAAAACGAGTGGCTAACGCGCCAGGTACCGGCAGTCACAGCTTAAGCTCACTTGCAATTTTACTCGCGATATTTTTAAATCCTATTGACGTCCCCAAAATACGTTTAAATCGTACACCATTCACAGACAAACGTGGTAATTTGCATACTTCAATTTCCCACTGAACTTGACTGTCTGTTGCAGCATCTCCATGAGCACAAAGCAATAGAAATCGTTCCCTTTGTTCATATTGACATTTGTTTGCATCTAAAACCTGAAAATATTCATTTATTTTAATTAAACTTTGCCACTTATTTAAATCATTCCAATAATTATTAATTACTCTTTGTTATTACCTTACGTATTTCTTCTATTATGTCATCTGGATCTCTACTGCTCGTAGTTCCCATACTCCAAGTAAAACGCAAACTACGTGGCTTAACTTGTTCCTCATTATTTGTAGCACCACTGAAAGCAAAAAATTAAATCACAATGCCTTGACAAACTTTTAATTTTGGTTAATAATTATCTAAAACTGTTCTATAGTACTGAACTTTCAGAGATCTTAGTACATGCTAAGGAGTTATAAAAATACTTCGATATATTAACTAATGAAAGTTTTCATGCCCATGCGAATATTTTTGAACCTAACAATAAAAAACAGTAATTTACCTTATTATTAACAAAATAACAATATTACTTGTATGTCAGAGTATTAATTAAAATTTACTTTTTACAAGGTATGAAAAATTTATATTAATTATATACATATGTAATGAAATCAAGCAATATTTTTCTACTATTCAATTCAACATGATAACTAAGATGATTAAATAAATTAGTTAATTAATAAAAAATGAAGCACAACTCAGAAATGTGCTATATAAGTTTTTATGAAATATTAATTTGAATAATTATGCTAAAAATATAATTAATAAAAGCAAAAATGCATTGCGCAAAGGCTTTTAGGAACATACCTCACTACTGGGTGCTTTGGGGTTACAGATTGATCCATGGCGCTAAAAAAATAAAACAAAGGCGATTGCTAACGAACACTAAATTTAATAAATGAATATGTGTTATTTAATTATACAACCATCACCAATTTAAATTTATTTGCAACTAATTTTTCCAAATTTCAACGAATTTATAGATATATTTTTCCCAAAGAAAAAAATAATCATTGTTATCATGATTAATATATCAATTTTCTATTACTTAATCAATTTTAAGAGAAATCAATTTAAAATATTCGTATTCAAGGATAATATAAAATAACGGATACTATAAATCCTAACTAAATTTAGCAAAAACTTATTACATGCAAGATATAAACTATAAAAATATAACGAAATTAAATAATATTTTAAAAAGCCGATTTTAAACTGTTTATTGAATTCTTAATTAAGAGGTTTCAATAAATAAATGGATACAACATATAAAAACGGTTTTCAAAATATTTATTATTATGAAAGTAATTATTCTATTATTGCTCCTTAAAATTATTAAATAATTATTTTGTTCTGCAATTATTGTATTAACGCCCACGATATCTGATATTATCTAGTACAGACCAGTCAATGAGGTAATGATAACATAAAACAAGAAAATGATGCGATTTATCATTAATCATAAATATACAAAAAAAAATGAAGCGAAGACATACGATTCTGGTTATTTTTTCTAAAAATTCCATTTGGTCATAAAAAAATAACATATTAGAGAGTATTATGATATAATGATTAATATTAATTATTTGAAATATTTACAATTTATCTTTCTTGATGATTGTATTCAACATTGACTGAACTGATACTAAAGTTTTTGTCGTGACTTCTTTTATTACTTATATAACTGTATCAATTGTGTATATCATTTAATACGAAATGATTAAAAACTTTCTAACAATTGAATGAAAAAAATGAAGAGAAAAAAAATGTGCTAAGTATACGGACGGGTACATAATTAAATTGTCAAAACAATACTATCAATATTAGACTCACGCTGACTAACTTACCAGTTTATCAATGAGTTTCTTTTTTCAATCATTTCAATATTATAATAATTTACAATTTTCTACATTCATGCACTTTAATCATTAACTCTCTCCTTTTTGCCAAAAACTGTCTAAAAATATATATATATATCAGATAATCAATTTCAATTTCTTCTGAACAATTTTCAATCTAAATAAATATTAATTTATAATTGTTTTATTTACATTATATTTTAGTAATCTAAAATATATATCAGGTAAACTTTGAATTATGATTATTTAATATTCATTGTTTTTACTATTAATCAGAGAATTAATGATTATAGCCAATATTTATAATGCATGCCATTGGTAACATAAAACAGCAAGTATATAAAATGTAATAATTATTGCATCAGTCCACATTTTTTATTCCAATTTTCCAAGCAATTTAATTTAATAATTTATTTATACACTGTCATATTTTTTCTGTTGATGAAGGTTATTTTTTTCAAATTTTATTTTTAAATCTATATCAATAAGATAATATAAATAAATTATAATTATATCTACATAATTATTGTTTCAAATTGAAATAAAATTGAACTTTTAAACATAAATTAAATGCAGAATTCTAAAAAAATGCTAGTTTTATTTTAATATTTATATTATAATTCATTTTGGAAAAAAAAATCGTCAATTTAATTTTTCATTAATCTTACTGCTCTTTACATTTTAAAATGTTCGCCTCAAAAACATTCTACATATGAGTTAATTTTTCTTTAATCCAACAATATCGAACAAGTTTGGATCTTGATATTACTAGTACACGTTAGTTTATTACTTCATAATTAAACGCTATTTTTCAATTTTTATCCCTACTATTGTTTTAAAATTTAGTTATAGCAAAAGAAAGAAAACATAAATGCAAAATTATCTACATATAACAAAATGAAATGATAATAATAATAATAATAATAATAATAATAATAATAATAAACATGTATATTACACAGTCTCTTATCTACATCTGCACATTTAATAATCGATATCAAATATAGTAATTCATAATGAATGACAATAAAAATATATACGTTGTAATAAAAATAGCAATAGTAATAATAACAATAATAATAAAAATCAATATAATCATAAAGCAAATAAATTTAATTTGTCCGGTTGTATAATCTGATACATTATTCTTATACATTTATGAAAATAAAAAATAAATTGGATGCTTCACAATTTTTTGCTTTTCTGGAATCCATAATTATTCCATTTACTATCAGTGTAAGACTTGTGTCGATCAGAATTTTCTAAAGATAGATAAGGCACATGAAATGTGAGACTACATTTTTCCATTAATGCAACATTATTCAACCGATATTCTACCAACAGCAATTTTTAATACATTTTACTGAAGAACATCGATACTGTCTACTAAAAAATAATTTCTAAAAGCTATTATATAACAAAAATAATTTGATTCTTTCGAAACATCACATTTTTGGAATAATTTATTAAGAAACTTTTTTAATAGTTTCTAATAAATTAATAAACTAAAAAGACATTTCAAATAACTTTTGAAGCAAATTCAATTAATGAGTATTATGATCAAGTTTTGTTAACTATAAAATGACATTAGACAAATTAGATAATTAATCGATTATTGACATCATAATTTTTGAATTAGTTAGTCAATTTCATAAAAACCATCAATTACGAGGCAATTGTAATATAAATTTTGGTAAGTGATAAAAAAATATCTACGAAATGAGACAATAATCCAATTGAGAAATTAATACATTAACTTTTATTATTATCATTATTTTTATTATTATTATCAATATTATATCTTTTTTTATTATTAATTATCTCTTAATTATATTTTTATATAATTTCATTGTTAAGAACTAAAAAAAGCATGTTCACTGATTTTCTATTAATGATAACTTCTTAGTTTAATTTATTGATTTATTAATGAGTCATTTATTAAATTATATAGTGTAACAATTTATTCCCAAAAATAATAATTAATCAATATTTACAATTTTTTAAATATTATTATAATGATTATTTATTATTATTATTATTATTATTATTATTATTATTTAACGAACGAGTATCGTTAATAAAAATGGTTTATTATTATTATTATTATTTTATTAATTACTCCTAAAATTATAGTTAATGTTTACTGTTATCGTAATAGTTTTTTTTTATTAACGAATATTATTATGAAGTAATGATTAAATAAGAAAATATTCTGAGTTTCGTTGTGAAGAACACTTTTCATATTTTCGTCTTTAAAGATGTGTGTATGTGTATGGAGCTCTTTTGGAAAGTTAACTGATGCATCGTGCATTATCCAGTCTCTGTCTCACTTTTTCAATCTTTCGCTCTCATTTTAGCTCTTTCGTTTTCAGCTTATGAAGTAGAAACAAAGCGAGACTTCACCTTTTCACTTAGAAAACCTGTTAATTTCATTAAACGGGACTATTTATAGATAATTGTAATAAAAACCGATAGTTTATTTATTTTTATTGTAAAAGCTATCAAAATACATTTTTTTAGACTTTTCCGCTGGCGATGTCGTTTCTCAGTTAAATTGTTTTCAAAATTATAAACAAACGATAGAGTATAATTTTTAATGTTAAATAATTATTTAATCATACAAACAATTCAATACTATTTTTGGAAAAAAAGGAATAATTCAAAGAATTGAAAAAAATATTTCATATTTGTTGTAAATGATTCTCGTTTTCATATAATATTTTATTTATCTTCGTTAATCTGATAACCAGACTTTATGATAATAAAACAAGTCAATAAAAATGTATATAAAATATTTAACAAAAAAAAAAAACAAGTAAAATACCTATTTTCAGTGCTTAGAACTCGTGAAATTCCTATCGCATAATGTTTTGCAAGTAATATTATTTAAAACATCTAAACTGTCAATTCAAATAAGCATTTTGTCTATTTCTATTTTTATATATCGGATTTTCGAAAGGACTATAAATAAGTAAAATTTATCATCAATTCTAGTCCGAAATCTAAATTTACTCTTATTGTTAATGGACAAATGTAAGATATTAGTTTTGTAGCAATGAAAACGATACTTACACACACTTCCACGAATATTAATTTTTAAGTTATAAGCACTTTAAAGCATGAATGCAATTATGAAATTTAAATGCAGTACACTATTAAAAAGTTAAAAATGATAGCACTATATTTGTTAAAAAAAAATTTTACAGTCACGATTTATTGGACTTATTGACATTAAGTTAATGAATTATTAATAATAATATTTTTTTTCTTTTTTAGTTGGACGCATAGTGAGGAAGGCACAAGGTTTGTGCTATGTCTAAGTGCGTAAGGCGATTTTCTGCTGTTCAATAAGTATTAACGATACCAACGTCAGTTCAAAGACGCGGAAGACTTTTTCAACTATTTCTATAACTATTATGATTGATCTTATTAATAATAACGATTATCTTGAATAATTATTTTGCTTAATTATTATTATATACACATGGTAAACAAATGGTATTATTACCAATTAATTTTATCCATATGTATAAAATAAATATAATTTTATATTTGTTCCTTTTTTTGAATCCTTTTCCTCATCCCTCTTTTGTATTTTTTGTCGATTAATATTAATTAAAATAATTTACACTCTTATTTGAATGTTGTTTACCACAGAATAACGGAATCTTTAAATTTTCACCATTTTTAGTATTATCTATCACGTATTGGATATTTGAAGTTTTTGTCCAATTTGTATTAATTATAACATCACAATATCCATTGAGCTTCAATCATATGAACTTTGCACTGTCTGAAGTAATCATCTTCAAAGTCGCGTCTTTAATTATCTGATCATCCCGGTACATGAGATGGCACCAAATTCAACTGGAATTCAACTCCTGTAGAAGACAATTCGTTCGATTTATCGGAAAAATTCGAATAAGTTGACTTTTAATGATGCATCAATGGCTATGAATAGTATTTAATCATTAAACGCGTTTATTTATTTATTACGATATAATCTGTACTTTTAATGATGAGTACAGTGACCATTTCATGAAAGACAATTTTGATTATTCAACACCAATATACAATATATCAATTTATATTCAGAATTAAAGTTTTTTTTTTTTTTTTAAAGTTATTATGTGTTATAAAATTGAGTGATTAACGTTCTCCGTTATTCTGTGGTTTTTCTCATCAATTTTTAATTTTCAATATATAAATCTTTAAAGATAAATTATTAAAAATCGATCAATAAACCACATTAAATTTTTTCATCAATTCAATGCAATGCAACAACAGTAGAATATATTTGTATAAGTTTTGTATTCATATACATAATCAAGAAAGTTTTTGAGAATACGCCTCGCTACAGTCAAGTCAAAAAACGGGATGCACAATGATTATGCGAGGTATTGTTTTTTTATATTAAACAATATACTTTTCTTCATAAAATTCAATGAATTTTAAACATCAACACATATACATAGAGATTTATAATTATTTAGCCAAGATAATATCAGGGAAATAAGTGAAAATATGAATTATTTATTTTTAGTAAAATTTGAAAAACGTAATATTTCTCATAAATAATTTTGAAAATAGATAAAATGAATAGTTCAACGACCAAAGCTATTGGCTGCATGATTTCTAAATATCAATGTAATAAAAATCTTGAAACCTGTTATATCTTGTAATAACCCATAAATTAATAATATATGATGCACGAAGCTATCATAAATATTATATTTTATTATAATGGATTATTAATTTATTCAATATTCAAATTATTACTTTAATCAAATCATACGTGTTTTGATATTACCATAAAATTATGTTTTTGCCCTAAATAAATATTGTTTTAATTTTATAAATTATCACTACTGATCACTTCATGATATTTGCAACCTAACTCTACATTTATTTAACAAAACAAACATTTAGAGGTGATCAGTATTTCTTAGAATAATAGTTAAGAATATGATACTAACAAAGTACATCAAGTAATAAATCTATCAGCTGATATAAATATATTTATATAATAACAATAATGATAGTAATCACAACTGAATTATATAAGTAACAGAAAAGTAATGAGAAAAATGATTGAAAAAATTCTTTCAAGTAGGTTTTCATGGATTAAATAAGGTAGACAACTGGTGGTGCGCGATACCTTGTTTAATTAACAATCAAAATGAGTATAAACTAAATTTAAACTTCAACTACTGAACGCATAGAAGCTTTCATTGATAATGGTCGCTGCTAACTCATCGAATTTTTCACAATTCATTGAATAAATTATTAAAATATTGCAATAATATTCTGAATTTTATTGCTTATCTCTGCTTTCATTAATGCATCTTTAGATTTTTAAAATTTAAAAAGATAAATAAAAAAGATACATAGTCATTGTGCATCCTTAAAACAAAAATATTTTAAATGTTTCATGCAAACAACAGCAGATACGATAATTCTTCGGATTTCATTTATTATCAGTACATTGTTAATACCATGTTAGTACAGTCAGTATGAATTATTAGATAAGCTTATGCTGCTGCCAAAATAAGAAAATATGAGAGACCAGTGAAATCATTTAACTCGGATAAGATATTTTGGTGAAATTGTCTATTGAATAAATTAAAATATATATATATATCTCATAGATATATTTGAAAATAACATCAACAGAAAAAATAATCAACATTTTTATTAAAGAGATTTCAAAATGGAATCCGAATGAGAATTATTGTATTTCGTAAAAAGTGGATTGACTTGAAGTCATGCAAAATATCTAACTGATAGATTAACTGTGGAGAAGTTTTTAAAATTATAAGTATAATATAATTTGTTAAACTTACCGTTTAGAAAATCTTGATGATAGTTTTGAGAAAAAAGATGGTCTAACCAATGGACTTATCGCACTTGTATCCTGTGTATGAGTATGTCCCTGGAAATTTAGCAACCATTCAGTTCAAATAAATAAATAAATGATTAAAAAAAAAATATAAAAAATCATCGGTCAATGTATGTCATACCTGAGTGTGATTCCTCTGTGCCCTGTTTTGACCAGAGTGAAATGTGCTACGGCTTGGAACGTTTCTGGGAAATGCCGGTGTGGTTGGTGTTGCCAATCGGCTACTAGGAGGTACTCCCATACTGTATAAAAATAAATAAATTTATAAAATAAATAAAATGAAATAAAAATTTTATTAAAAATAATAGCGACTAAAAAACTAAATAATATATTTCAGCGTTAAATAAAGATAAAATAATATGTTTAATAAGTAATAACGATGCACCTAGAAAAAGTAGCCAATTTTTTAATAAGATTATATTAATGAGCCTTTTTGTTTTATTATAATCTCTCTATTTGTTGACATTAATAAAAATGAAAATTTTTATTCAAAAGATATTTATTTCAAGCAATACTTAATATTAAAAAAAAAATTAATTATTCGTGGAGAGAAAGTGTCACTATCTGCCATTAAATTGTAAATTTTGTTATATCAACAAAATGCTATTTAACCAAATTTCGCCGAAGCTCAGTAGATTTTAAAGATATAAAATACATTCATGCATTAGTATTGCTAATATTTAAACTTATTTCCGTAAAATTAATTAGATGAAACATATCAAGTAATACAAATGATAAAAAAAATACCAGCTAAGCCTACATAATCAACTAAAAAATGAATGAATTTTTGATTGCTATTGAAAATGTTTATTTGTTTCGACTGAAAAAATGATAAATTATTGTTTTTAATATTGACGACGCCAAATGATTTTCAACAACAATCATAAAACACCAATAAAAATGTAGGAATAGTGAAGACAAATAAACTAAACTTGAAATGGAAAACTACTCGATATGATAAAATGACCAGAAACTATCCTAGAGGTCCTGCATGAATGATTTATGATAACAAGTTTAAGACATGAAAAATGAATTTAGTAGTTGCTAAAAAATTGAAGTGTTTAATCGACTTATAGATTCCCCAAGAGAGTTCGTGGCCGAGGGAGAAAGATAAAACAAATATATATAAGATATTAAAGGAATGGCACGTGGAAATAAAAGATCGAATTTTAACAAAAGGAAAACGACGGGAAGCCTATACCTCTGCCTAAGAGGATCAGTTGTTGCAAGTAAAGAGTTGTGAACGTTGCGTGGTTGAGTGTCCAGTAGCGAGTGATCACTGGGAGCTACGCCACTCGAGGACCGGTGACTTGCACTGATGCTGGCAGACTTGAAATGACCCCGGGTTGGCTTAGTGCCCTCAGCCAAGCTGTGCATAAAACTAATCAACAAATACCCCGATCCTATTATATTTTATACATTTATAACTTGTACTGCCACATTTGACGGATTAATGTTGGAAAATATTATCTACCCCTTGTTTTAAATTCTTTTATTAACTATTTTTTTTCGTTACGTAAAACAAGATCTACAATCATGATTATTAAGCAATTTTTAATTAAGTTGACGGTAATGATGATCAATTGCTGTTTTTTTTATTTCACATATTGTATTTTTAATTATTAAATTTCTAAGTTAAATATGATTAATTACTGATTTGATTTTTGGGAGGACCAACGAATAAATTTTATAAACTTAGTTGCACAAGCCAACATAGATTATATACAAAGATATATTAATATTAACAATGGATGCCTCCTAATTTTGAAAAAAAAGTAAATTTTATGAGAAGAATTAAATTATACACTAAAGCAATTGATATTGGTAAGATATTTCGTGTAATGAGATTAATGATTAACAGTGTATATCATTTTGATGTCTATGACTATGACTATTATATGATTAATATGATATGATTGATGATTGATAGGCAGCAGCCAACATGCCAGAATAATGCAACAAATAAATAATCTGACTGAGTTTCGTTCACTCTTTTCAAATTACTATGTATATGTACACTTTCTTACCCTCTTTATGAGAATAATTTTATAATAACCTAGATTTTAAATATATAAATCTTATTATTTTCTAAAACTGTCGCTCATCCATAATTCATAGTTCATTATTTACTTAAATTGATTTAATTGTCGAAATAATCGTGCTAAAGCAGACAATCATTAATAATAAAAATATTTTATTTCGACATTTCTTGTTTTATCTAGATTTCTATAAAAAACACCATGCAACTTATTAAAATAATTAATTTTAGATTTCATAATTATACTCAAATATTTAGAATATTTATATAAAGTTTAATAAAATATTGTCGAAATAAACGACAACAGTGATGTGAGTTAATTAAGAATAATTATGAAAGTAAATCTGTCGATAAATAAATAAAATAAACGATAATATACCTGGGTACATCGTTAGTTCTCTCTGTAGACGAAGAGGAGGTTTTAGCTTGGTCATACGAAATTGTACTACGTCGACCAACAGAACCTGCTGCAGGAGAGGTAAAAGGGCGAACACCGCCTACTCCTGTATTTATCGCGTTGCTTCTTGTTGCTCTTCCTTTACTGCCAGGGCTCGTTCCAACGCCTAGAATAAACATTGTCACTGCAAGCTTCATTAGATGTGTTTCAACACAAAACAACTCAACGTACTTCAACAAAATTTACCGGAAAATTTGTTTTAATTAGGCATTCAAAACAGTTACCGACCTAAAACGGTCAAACTGCCCGAAAATTTGGTTAAAAGATTATTCACATGTTAGTTTAAATCATAAAAAAATCAACCAAAATCAAAGCCGAGTTGTTTTAACGATGAAAAGATCTTAGAAATACTTTTTGTCGAAATTTTGTATTAATGACGATGTAATGATATTTGGTGTGAATATTGTTGAAGATAGTTTGATTTTGATATAAAAAAAAAGAGTGTGAAATTGTTTTAGTATATGATGGGTGTTTGATAACTCACTAGTATCTAGTTGCCCAGGACTATTTTTGGGTGCAGATGATCGTGTCGATGAGACACGTGCACTATTTTCTTTAATAGTCGCTGCATCAACAGTATTTTGGCGTTTAAAATTACTACCACCACTTGCTGTTACTGTTCCCCCGGTTACTGCAGGTGCGTGATTGTGATTTGTTGCGTTGCCCGGACTTGGTACTCCACCTTATTATCATTAATCAAATTATTAAATATTGTAACAACTATTTTTCATAATTTCTTTAGCATAACTATTTTCATCTATAAATTTTAGAAAACATTATATTAGAATTTACCATCATCACATTTTAAAATTGAAACTTTTAAATGATATGTTGGTTTATTCATTATTATCAATCAAACTTACTAAGCCAACGTATCTATTTAATAAACTTACGGAGAGTTTCCACACCAGCGGAAGCACGTCTGCTCGGTTTAGCATTGCTTGCAGAGATACTTCGGTGAACACCTCGATGCGAAGGACTTTGAACTGTACTGCCAGTTCCGCCTCCGCTTCCTCCTCCACCGGAACCAGCTTGTGGTGGAATGTTACGCAGTGACAACGAACTGCCTGACCGCGAGCCATCACTCTCAGGCTAAAAAATGATTAAAAAATTAATGGATCAAAATAATAAAAATAAACTATTGAAAAAAATTCCTATAATATGGTTAGAATCACTTACATCAGTAGTTTTACGACCAAGTAGGAGATAAGTGGCAAAAACGTCGTCATACTTGGCCTGACCAAGTGAATCCTCTATTTCACTACGAGTGTATCCCAAAATGGCTAAGGCTTCTGAAATAACAAATAGCAAAAAGCATAGTCACATCCAGAACAATTACAAACAGATGATAATTACTATTATTATAATATTAAATTCATTCAGATGTAAGTATCTAACTTGAAGTTAATAGGAAACAAACTTTTATTTTATTTTTCAAAAGACTCCAAGTAGACTATTTGTTTAACTCGTACATGCCACATTAATTATTAGTGCATAAAACTAAATTCATCACATCATATATTCTACCTTGAATTAATCTTTTTTATTTTAAAGAAATATCAGTTCGTTAATAAAATTATCCATGCCAGATGTGATTTTTTTCAATTCTACTAATAAAAAATTCATTATACATAATAAAGTAATTGATCTACATTTTATAAAATTTTATGACTATTAATTTAACTTTATTTATTAAACAATAAATAAAAACAACAAAAATTATAGAAAATATGCAAGCAAAAAATGATACTTTTTTAGATAAATTTACTATGCTATTTTATCATGACTGATAAACAAAAATTCAAAGTTCTGTGGTCGAAATGTTCTAATACATTAGTAATATTTTAAAATAAACGATTATAAAAATCGTGACTGTGCAAAACGTGAACATGAAAATTACTAACATAGCTAATAACACAACTTGCAAATTAAATAGGTAGGAAGTGTTATGTACATACTGGCAGACTCACCTATCCTCTTGTGGTCTTTGTAATCGGGTTCTGGTTCTAAGTACGGCTTCAACTCGTCATCTTCATAACCCATATTCATCCACTTATCCTTCATTATGTTCTATTGAAATAAATTGAAATAGTATTAATAAAATTGGTGACACTATTCAATTATTTATAAATTATATGGGAGTGTGTGAATTTATCTACATCTCTACATAATTGATACTCTAATGATATAATTTTGTGCCAAAGGAAGAAAGAAACCCGAACCTTCTCACCACGTACCTCTAATGAGGCCCGCTTGGTTGGATTAAGCACCAAAAATTTTTTCAACAAGTTTTCACAATCAACAGACATATAAAAAGGAATCCGATATTTTCCTCTTAATACTCGTTCTCTAAGTTCTCTCAGTGTCGACCCATCAAATGGCAGTGAGCCAGAAACTAATGTATATAAAATTACACCCAAAGACCATACATCCACTTCGGGCCCATCGTACTTTTTACCTAAAAAAAAAATTATTCATTTATTTTTAAATATATAATATAATTGAAATAGTTGAATATAATTAGTGTTATTAAAAAAATTTACCTTGAAATAATTCAGGAGCAGCATAAGGTGGTGAACCACAAAATGTATCTAATTTGTTACCCGGAGTAAATTCATTGCTGAATCCAAAGTCGGCTATTTTGATATTCATTTCACTGTCTAAGAGTAAATTTTCGGCTTTTAAATCTCTGTGTATAATTTTCTTTTGATGGCAGTACTGAACAGCAGACACTATTTGCCTAAATTTTGCTCTTGCTTCTTTCTCTTTCATTCTTCCATGTAATACCAAATAATCAAATACTTCTCCACCACTTGCATATTCCATCACCAGGTACAACGTCTTTTCCGTTTCAATTACTTGAAATAATTTTACTATGTTTGGATGGTCAAGCATTTTCATTATCCTTACTTCACGGAAGAGCTGAAATTTCATCAATAACGTTTACTTTTGAACTGGGAAAAGGATTTTCTTTTTCTTGAAACAAACCTTTTGAAGACTGCCTGGATTCAGTTGGGTTTTATCGATGATTTTGATAGCCACTTCTTTTCCAGTTGGTATATGTTTGGCAAGTTTGACTTTGGCAAAGTTACCTTTACCAATGGTTTTAAGCAACTTATATTTGCCAATGTGTGGTTCTTCGGAGGTTCGGCTTCTCGAGGAGAGCCTACTTCCGCCGCTACTTGATACCGCCACGCCATCTCCTGTCTATTGAAATAGAAAATAAAATAATATTTTATTAAGAATAATTTTTTTTTTTACAACATTTGAATAAGAAAAAAACATTATTTTTAGTGTGGTAAACACGTCATTTCTTATTTTCATTTTACTGTTGAAGTAAAAAATATATAAAGACTGCGTTAAAGAACTGAATTACAAATGATCGGTACGTTGAGAAATGGGAGCATTGTCAATAGAATTAATTAAACCTCATTTAAAGCAACAAGATATCAACTATTCGAAATGCAACACAATTAATATCTTCAAGGATATTTTTAGTTCATCAAATGATTAATCAATATTAAATATTATTTAATCAATTTTAAATATCCATCATCAATAGTAAAATTATTTTCAAAAACATTTTTAAAAATATTTGTCAACTACTGGGTACATAAATTTTAAGATAACTCTATTATAATGTTAAATAATACCAAGCTTTTGCTTTCAATAAATATAATAATAAGGAAGCTGTAAATTTGAAAAGAATACATTATAAACAAAATGCACAAACTTCTTTAGAAGAGAAGAAAAATTCAATTGACTTCCAACTCAAATACTATTACTAATTGTTTAACAGCTTCACTATTGACTAGTATAAAATTTTTTTTCTCTTATATTCAATTGCAAAAAAGATTATAAATATAATAAGGCAATAATAGAACTAGGAAATCTAACGATGAATAATGAACTCGTTGAAATAATATCCATGGAAGCAATAATTCATTCGAAATTTAACAACAATAAATTACCCTAATCGAGCCACGCGTGACCATTTTGCAAGAAGTTGCTGTAGCAATTTTAGATGTAGCCAGCTTGACACTATCTGATTGAAACTTTTAGAAAAATATGTCTCAACATTCAACGAGAACAATAGAACAAAAAATAAAATCAATGGATATATGTTTCAATCAATAAAACACTGTCATGCATTAGGAGAGGTATCGAGGCAAATTAAATAGTCGACACATCTCGACTGAATTTTTTTCATAGAAAACTAATTCGTATTCACTTGAATAAAAAGATTAAACAGTTGATCAATAATAAGTCCATTATATAACAAGTATTAATCAATCAGCACGATTAATCGATATTTAGATACCACTCGATAACAATCCGTTGACAATGAACGTAATTAATAAAAGTTCTGTCACCGATACACAAAAAAGTTTTTCGCACTTGGCGTTTTTTTGAAGACCACGACGGTGGCTTTTTCATATTTCTTCCGTTTTGTGTCCTCCGAAACGAAAGGTCAAGACATCACTCCTCAATGAAGTTGGAGCAGTTTTATCCTTAGAAGCTTCTTGAAGATCAAACTATCTTTAGAAGAGATTGAACAGCCATTTGTTTCAAAAACTACTTGTAATATCGAGGAAAAACATTAAACTTGGAATTGTAACCCTCGCGCGAATCAAGGGATGAAAGGAAGAATCAATACGCGACGCCACTCCCGCCAGTGTGATAAAGTGTGCAACAGCGCCATCGATGCGGTCATTTACCGCATGCGCGCTATTCGTTGACGACATTGAGAATCGCAAAGTTTGGAAAAGGTCAGCTGATAAAAGGTTTGACTTGATTCCAGTACACGTTTAATATCAACATGCATAGAATAACATTAACACGAAGGCTACCAAACAATTTGGAAATTGACCTATACCTTCTGGCCTTGGATTGTTTTCTGCATGATGTCTGTAAGAGGTCTAAGAGGTCCACTAGTGTTACCATGCGCAGAATCTGTTTTCTTAGGCACCAAAGGCCTAATTGGTCGCGTTATTGGTTGAACCCTTGATTTAATCCTCAAAGGTATGTCCACTTCTTGGCCACGTCTTGAATCTGATGCTCTTCTTTCTAACAATACTGTCATTCTTTGTCCTGATGCATTTCCTGTTGAATTTCGTGTGGCTTCACCTCTCTGCAGCGGCAACGCCCTTTATATCCAATGTAATTAGAAATTTCTGTTTAGATAGTAGACCCTATTTAAGCAGTAAATACAGTTATGGTCAAAATTACCTTAACTAAATTCATTTATATTCTAATCATGAAATAATTCAAATTTTATCTCAACTACTGCAAGGATCAGTTGATCTTTACTGTATGAAATACAAAATTTTCTTTTCTTTTACCAATTAAATAATTATCAAAAAACTAATAGAGATGATTAATAAATAAAATTATTAGACTTTCAGTATTTTTGACCATTACTGTAATTGAATTTACCCTTCTGCTTCATCATCTGTGACGTGGTTTAAAAGATCTTCATGTTCACGATAACGCATTTGAATTTCCGGTTGTAGTTCTGAACTATCTTCCAGCTTAGCTCGAGCCGTCAGTGTACCTATTTCAATGGCTTTTACCTGTCGTTCTAGTTGATCTAGCATGTCTATACTCTCATCACCTGATTTTTGATTCTTTAAGATGATATCTAATTTGACCGGATTCTTATGGTTATTTAGGTCATGTTCAATCGATTTTTCTGTTGGTACAGCTTGAATAATATTAGATCGTTCAAAAGCCTTAAATTTCCGGGCTAGATTTTCATTCAGAAGAGTATTGGTTGGCATTGATGGTACTGTGAAATTCTTGTCAATTATTTCTGATGACATTTTAGCTGTTTTCTCTACTACTTTTAGACCTCTATCACCTTCAATAAGCTGCCACTGTTTCAAATGATTATCTGGTGTATTAGCACTAGTTTCTTCTTTTCCACATGTCTTTCTGCTAGAACATAATTGATCTTTTAAATGATTTCGATGACTTTCTTCATTTGCCATGCTGCTCTTGAAATGGATCAGAATATCTCTTACTTATCTACTTGTTATCAGTCAATGAAAACACTAATTGTCCTTCAAATAATTATTTTTCACTTCACTTTCCACTATGGCAATCACTTGAAGTCTTCAATGTTCTGTTGAAAGGAAAAAAATAATAAAGAATACGCTTTGAAAACGTTAAAAAATAATCAAAAGATGATTATCTTCACTAAGGATCAAGTCATTAACGAAATACATACACAAGCATACATAGAATCCCATATGTGTTTCCTAATATTTGTACAGCACTACCGAATAGACTGGAAAAACACCAATAGAAGCAAACTGTAAGACAAAGCAACAGGTAACGCATAAAAAGCAAACATAATTTTGAAATACGACTGACTGTGAATACCTATAAAAAACCAACAGTTTTTGCGATAATTTTTTTAAATAGCGTTTAAAATTCTTAAAAGTATGATCTTGCAAAAAAAAACACAATTTTATGTCATACTTGTGAATTTAATTGAAGCAAAAAAAAAACGATGATGATTGAGGCTTATGAATCATTATTTCGATATTCACAAGAAAGCATTCATTATTTTTTATTTCATTTTTGGTTCGGAAAATTGATGTAAATGAAAAAAAAAACAATGATTGCACTCGAAAGATTACATTCATTAGGATTCGAACGCTTCCCTCTCAGGGTTTAACGATAATATGTTACAATTTATGAATCTTTCAAGCTTATAAGCAATGAAGAAAAATAAAATTTATGAAATTAAAGCAAGAATGATATTTATTTAAAGATAATCACTTATCAGTCTTTCAACTAAATTTAACGTGAAAGTTGCACACTGAGAACAGATTTAATTTAATATTATTACACGATTTATATTCTATTTATTATGTGGATTAAAATTTGGAATAAATCTAATTTTATTGAAGTAAAACTAATTTAAATAGTTAATATTTTGAATACTAAACACAGACTTCATTTAATATAGGAATGTAAATTCAAAAAATCATGAAAAAATACTTGACTTTACATGTCGTCTCTTCTCTAAAGCTTATGATAACAACAAATCTATGTATTCAAGTGTACATAAAAGAAAATGATGTCAAAGACATGATCGACATCATAAATAATGCACAGTAAAGAAACAACTACTTAAATTTTTCTCCACACTTCACAGTCAAGTCTCACTTTAACGATTCCTCTTATCAGTTTTGTTTTCTGATAAGCAATGATTCGATAGCTATATTTCATTGCTAGTTTTTGAAAGTTTAAGTATTCTTCATCACTTAAAAACCTCTTGATATTTATATCTCATCAGTATGTCTTATTTAAGTAATGATATGTTTCCTAATTGGTCAAAAGTCCTAACTTGATATGACATTTTTTAATAAATTTTTTTTTCTTTAATCCACAGTTATTTCATGAATTAAATACAAAAATTACTAGAAATAATTTTAGACTTGGAATTATGAGTATTTAATTTTTACAAAAGTTTCTTTAAATCAAACCATGACTTTCATTTTTTTTCTTTCCTTTCTTACTGATACACCCACTTTTTCTTTCCCAGATCGACGACACGAGTTGTGTTGTGTTCTTTTTTTCTTTGACTCATGATCGCCGACACGGCGTCTGGTTCACAGAGTCTGAAAGGATATAGAAACATTCAGAAAAGAAGAATAGAAAAAGACAGTGAATCAGTGAAACGAAGTGGAACTATGAGTGAGTCATAATCAAGGAGGATTCACGAAAGACGACTTGTATTTCAGTGCGTGGTAACCAATTCAATGGCATGAAGGATAGTAAAGAAGGACGAAAGAATGTCAATATGACTCATGTGAAGTGAACGTAAAATTAGTAAAATTATTCCAACTACTCCAAGACGAGTAAATCTGTCATAGATTAAGTTTATGTCATTTTCTACGAATTTATGCTTTAATTATACAAGAAAAAAAAAACTCATCTCTCACTTTTTTTAAATGATTTCTTGGACTTTTTTGAAAAATAATTTATACACAACATTACTGAAAATGACTCCAAAAATTAGATATCAAACTCCAAAGCAAGCATTGATGAATGGTTGGTCAAGAAAATGATGGGATTGTGATTTAAATGGACAGAACAGAACAATAATAGAAATTATCTTTGCCACTTGGATTATTTATGAAAATTACAGCACTCCACTTTAAAACCCGCGCGTTGACGTGCGCATAGTTCTACGTCTCGTACTACAAACATTTGCTCGGTCGAGTAAAAATTAAATAAAGCCTGTTGGTACCTAATATTATATTATCACTGAAAAGTCACCATATTAAATACACAATACCATCTATTAAATGATAGAACAAGTGAATACGTCCACTGATAAAAATTTCCCTTCTCTAATAATACAGCCATCACGTGTAAACATATACGTCAGCAAAAGATTATAAAAGGTGGCTTAATAACCATAAGCAAATACACACAGCTCACTGTCAGGAGACATACTATACACGACTTAGAATGTCCCTGTCCTCCTGTGTTCAGTTATCCGTATAATATACCGAAGTATACTATACAATTGTGCTTGAAAAACTTCTTCAAGTGACCACTAACATCAACTCAAGTATAAAAAAGAAAGTCCCAAGCAACAACGTTGATCGAGAACTAAAGAACACTACATAGTACACACAATGCACTTCTTGGAGGATCTAACGGATAGGACGAACTGAGCACACTGAGTGCTTTTCCTACACGCGTAGCGATTGAGATCAATTTCCTATGACTTGGAGGGGCTTCACAGAAGACTGCTCAAGCCGGGCAATCTCAAGAGAGAGGAAGATAGCATTTCAAGATAACGTACGATTTCAACTGCTGACAACAGCGACGTCGTTAATGCGAAAGCTTTTGTAAAGATAGTTTGAGATCGTCAAAAGTATTATCATGCGGATAGAAGCATTGTAACTTTGAAGAGATTTTTTTTTATGTTAAACTCATAAAATTTAAAGAACAACTATTCAGTCATTGAACAAAGATAAGAAATTGATTGATGCACTGTCAAAGTGCCGGAGTAAATTAAATTAATTCCACTTTTCATCAGAGTACATTTTTTTTCACTTATAGTTATTACTTGGAAGAATTAGATAATTATAATTTCAATCAAGTTAAATTATTTCTCATCAAAAGTCACTTTTATTTAATTAAAATAAACTCTTCCGGCACTTAACACTCAAATTTAGCACAAAGTATTTTCGAAAATATTGTTTTCAATAATGATGGTTTATACAACATTAAATCATACTTTCAATGATTTTAAATACTAATAACAAGCAATTCTACAATCATTAGGTTCAGATATAAACGTTTAAAATCAACAGACCGTACTATTCATATTGCTGATGTATTTGATCTCTATTACTGATACTTTTTCGCCATGCAGTATAGTTCTTCCGCTTCCGTACGAGTTTGTTATACAATCATTAATGTTTCGTGGTGGTAGACTCATGAAATAGAATATACCTGAATATAACCAAGGCTACAGCTTTCCTAACTCTAATGTCTCTCATATATTATATTTCTTCTAAAAATGAAAAATTTTTTTAAAAAATCATTTTTATCAACATCAAGTAACAATTATTTTTGCAAAAAATATTTATTAACAACTATTACCAGTTAGTATCATCAGTTAATAAATAAATACCGTCTGTATCGACGGCAATATATATACACATTTATCAAATTGGCCTTGGTATTTGTTTAAAAACCAAACACTGACAATAATTGTCACGTGAATGTATCTTTCTCTGTCTCATTACGCCTACATAAAACAATGATATGAGCTTGTTTGTTTCGTTATTTTTTTTCAATTCATAATCGATGACGACACGTCAGAATGATTCTTTGTTAATTTATGAAACAATTGTAGAATATTAAAAAAAAAACAGTTGGCTATCGATAGTATTTGTTGTTAAAAAATACTACTGTTATTAGAATGATCAAATATAGGTCAATTTTCAATGAGAAAATTTTATTAAATATAATTTTAGAATTATTTATTAAATTAGAGCAATAAAATAAGCTACTGGTTCTAATTGTTTATTGAATGATAAATATTGTATTAAATATGTAAACTAATTGAAGAAGTTTTTTTTTTTCGTTAAAGAGATAAAAAATAATCTTTTAATAATGGTCATTTAAAAAGCTTTTCAACATAACTGTTATTTTACTTAACAAGTTTTTGTAAGACATTTAATGTAGTACAGAAAAGACAAAAAATTTCATCTAATGTCTGGTTTTTAACAGTTATAAATATAATACTGAACCGAGAAGTGCGTGTCTATAAAATATTTAGACTGAAAGTCCCGTTAGACATCAAAATGATGGGAGTGTGAAAGTAACAAAGTATACAATTGATATTTAGGAAGTATAACATAAATATAAAAGAGATTAAAATTGAAAATTCTAATTTATCAGACTAATAATTACTCAAAGTTTTATTAATAGAGAAATAATATTACGTCTATTTCCTCAAAGTTTAAAAATAGATTTTTTTTTTCTTTTTTAATTATTTAAAATGTTTCGTGTTTAAAAACTCTGAATCGTGAGTTACTATTTTTCATGACTAAAATTAAATCACCCAGTACAATTAATCATCAGTGATCTAAACAGGTAAAATAAAAACAAAGAATTTTCTTCTTATTGACTGTTTTTAAATTGTCATTCTTAGAATTCAAAAATTATGAGTCATACTAAATTTTTCCGTAAAAACAAATAAAGTATAAATGTTAAGTATCATAAACATTGTAAAATATTTCATGATAAATAAAGTATCAAGTAAATATTCTTAATTTGTTATTATGAAATATTGTATTTACGGAAAATTATGGAAAATCTTCATAATTTCATGGATCGAAAGGTAAAGTGAAAGTAAACTTTTTTTTTTTCTTTAAAAAAAAAAGCTAAGTAAATATTTTTCTATAATTTCAATATAAAAATAAATAAAACATTTGAATAATATTCTTTCCTTTTTTGTCAAAAATATTTAAGGTTAAATAAATTAGAAACTTTTCTAATTTTATCATTGAAAAATACAAAAATTTTCTTTGTCTTTTAGAAAAATAATATTTCACAATTATTTGCATCAGACATCTGTTCAATGTCTATATATATATTCTTTTTCTCACGTCAAGTAATTAAGAATAGTATGTATGTATATATTATAGATTTCCTTGAAATTAACATATAAAAAAGCTACAAGACCTGTTAAGCGGGTCTTACATTCATCTACACTTAGATGACCACAAAAACCACAAAATAAAAGTGGTAACATATATATTTGATACTCGAGTTGATTTGGATTTTTTTTTTGTTTTTATTTATCACCAACCGACAACTGGGTTCCACATTCTTTTAGTAACAACATCATTGAAATCTACACTGTCATATTTTATAGACAATAGTGAAAGGTAGTTACTGAGAAAAATGTGGAAATTACTCTAACGATAGTTCTTATTCACAAGACATTAAGTAAAATAACAAATATTTATGATAATTACACTGACAAAACAATATTCCTAGATCAAGAATAATTTTATTCTTGACCATAATATTGCCAAATAAAAAATATTAAGTATTTCCAACCGGAAAACAATACATGGCATTCCTGGCATCATTCTGTCATAACTCTGTCTTCATTCATATAATGCTATACATTGTTTTCTGGTTGAAAATACTTAATATTTTTTATTTAACGAATAATAAGTTACTTCTAATTATTTAAAATGATTTTTGATTATAAACAAGCTATCATTAATTACTTTCTATGCAGTTTTCTTTGTTATTTAAAACATATATTTAAATCATAAAATTACCATTGAGAATAATAATGAAGAAATTACGTAGAAATGTTTTTTTCTTATTATATATTCAAAGTAGAAATTTTGTTTCTTAAAATACTCCAACAACAATGTAATTAAGATTGAAAAAATGATAAAATTTTTAATTCAGTCTTTGAGCTCAAGCTTTTAATCACGATTTGATTGTAAATCGGTATTGAGTCTTACCTTCAATCGTGATTTAATTCTCGAATATCGCTTGCTCGCAGAGTTGTTATATTTTCCGGTTGAAGATTCTCGATATTGGGCTGAGGGTGCTGGTGGCGGTGGTGGTTGTGACCTCCGTAGATTACCATCATTAGTATTCGTAATAGCATTGGCTTTATTAGCAGGCATAGGTTTAGGATTGGTGACAGCAGTTGCATTGGCTGTTGTTGTAATAGTTGGTGTGGTTGTAGTACTTGTCGATGTTATCGGAGCAAGATATACAGATGGCGTGTCTCTATGACTTTTAGTTCTCCTTAATAGTCGACGCACTGTATTTTTCACCGTTGCTGCAATATGATTACCACCACCGCCATTTCTTTCATTAGAATTTTCATTTGTTGTTTTATGTTCAATTTTTTTCACTTGCTGATTAGCCGGAGCCACTCGGTGTCCACTTGACTCCATGACATACATTCTTAAAAGCTAATTTTAAAATGTACTTTCTTTCCAATTTTACTAATTATTCTTTTCACAGTCTTTGATTAATTATAATTCCACTACCTCATTGTGTTGCACTTGAACGATAATCGATTGGAAAATAACTTTGGCAATTGAATTCCACTAGAGTCAATAATGACATTTACGTTCAATACTGTCACCATTCGAGGCCAGTATCAATTGAAATTGTGCACGTGGTGAAAACAGTCTGAGTTACGGGTTTACCAGTAGATCACTAGAAAGGTTATACAGACAGGTGAATATTGTTCAACATGCGGATTGCAAGATTACCTTACAATTGTGGTTGCTTGTAATGGTGATGATGCAAGTTTAATGCCATTAAATATCACAGTGTTAGATTGATAATATAATCTAGAAATCGTTATTATCCACTCAAATATTTACACTATTGCT